TGAGGACCCGCGGCAAGCACTGCTCGGAGGATCCCTCGAGCCGGTCTGCCTCGTGCGCCGGCACGACGACGGTTCACATCGAAGACTTTTCGGCGGGGTGGCGACGCAGCGGTGTCCCGCCGCCGCCGGCCTCGAGCCCCTCCCTGAGCCGTCTCGGACCCCTCCCCATAGGTGGCGCGGCAACGGCCTCGCCGGGCGGCTGGGCCACCGCGCCTCCTCGTCCAAAGCGATCGGCTCCCACTCCTCCGCGAGGAAGGAAGTCGTGCCGCGCTCCGCCGCGTCGCGACCTTGCATCTGCGGGCGGGTGCAGGCGTACTGCAAGTGCCCAAAGAAGGCGGGCGAGAAGAAGGCCAAGGCAGCCTCCCCCTTCGGGCCCCCCCCCCCCCCCACTCCTCCCTCTTCCACTCTCACCCGCCCCCCTCCCCGCGCCCCAGGCCGCCACACCAACCACCGGCGGGGCTCTCGTCCCAAAGACGGAGTCGCGCGTGCCGGCCGCCGCCGCGAAGGGGCAGTCGGCGGGCAAGGACAAGACCGCGCCACAGTACACGGCGGCGCCGCTCGAGACGATCCTCGTGGCGACCCTCAAGCCGTCCCGCTTCCTGCTGCCGCCGGCGGCACTGCCGTACCGCGACGAGCTCGGCAGGCTGAGCCTCGCGCTGCTGCGACACGGCGTCGCGCAGGCGCGGGAGTTCCGCCGAGACGGGGGGGGAGATCATGGGAGGTGGGCAGAGATCATGGGAGGTGGGCAGAGGTGCGCCAGACTGGATCGGGTGCCTGTACGGACCGCCGAGCCGCGCTCTGCCCGCGCAGGTGGAGGCGGGGGAGGTGGCCGCGCCGGAGGCGACGGTGGCGACGCTGCGCAAGTGGCTGAGGCACGCCGAGAAGGAGGTCGCCAAGGGAGGGCACGAGTGGACGCGCACCGAGGAGGGCGACGCGTGGGCCGGGCCCGGTGGCGAGGTGCGGGGTGTGCTCGTACACGCCGGCGGCGAGACGGACGAGGAGGGCGAGGAGGGCGAGGAGGGCGAGGAGGCGGAGGAAGAGGCAGCGGGCGCGGCGGCGGCTTCTGCGGAGGAGGCCGCCGCCGCCGCCGCCAAGACGCCAAGGGAGCCACTGCCGACCTTCTCGAGCGACGAGGCGGGCGAGGCGGCACGGCGGTGGGAGGCGGCGGTGGGGGCGGCAAAGGCGGCGCGGGCGGATGCGGATTCAGATGAGCAGGCGCAGGCAGCGGCGGCGAAACGGAAGGCGTGCGACGTGGCGCCGGCCGAGGGCAACGAGGAGCGGCCGGCGAAGCTTTCCCGCGAGGTTCTCGTGTGAGGGCGTGGCCAGGGCTTGTGCACGCTCGGGCGCACTGTCTGCAGGCAGGGTATTAGGCGCACCGCGCCTCGTGCTGAGCCACTTAAGGAGCGACGAGACTCGGTCGAGTCTTCTGACTCGCATTCGCACATCTCTAGCCGTAGAGTTGCGGGTGTGTAGTGCGCCCCATCACGAGTGAGAGAGAGAGAGAGAGAGAGCACGCGCGAAAGCCGTAAACAAGTTTGGCGAGGTGGGAAGAATCGCTCAGGATACTTTTACATTATTTTCTCTCTGCGTTGTTGAGCCAGGACTCAACATACTCGACTTGCAATCCCAAACTGTCACTCCCCTCTCTCCCCGCACTGCGCGGCCGGGGTGGGGCGCGCACGGGGGCGGCGGGTGTGCGGCGGGTGTGCGGGATGTCTGTGGGACCGAGAGAGCGATGTGCTTGTGTCCGCCTTGCGTTTGTTTTCATAACATCGAAGGCTAGCTCAATAAATAAAACGGACACCTCTACTCTAGGAGATGGGTCAAATAAAAGGAACAAGGGGACCGCCCGCCCCGCGCCCGATTCAAAAACCTTCAAAACGGCGAAACGGGGCCATGGCCGACGCTCGCGATGGCCCGTCCGTTGCGGCCAGGCTCAAACTGTGCGCGCAAGCCACAGGAGAGGCGGTGGCGCCGCAAGACGAGGCGATGATTCGCATCCTCTCGCAGCTCGCCGTGGAGCGCAACTGGTGGAGCTTCAGCGTCAACCCGACGCCCATGGGCAAGCAGTTCATTGTCCAGCCCCAGTCCCAGTGGGAGAGGGACAGGGAGCGGCAGCAGGCCAAGGAGGGCAGTACCCCACCGCAGCCTGTGCCTGCTGCCACCTCCGCCGCGGCACCGCCCGCAGCACCGCCTGCCGCCGCTGCAGCTCCGGCCGCAGCACCGCAGGCACACCCGCAGCACCAACAGGTGCAGCAACCCCAGCCCAACGAGTCGCCCGAGGGGTGGACCAGGGTTGGGAAGGGCGGCATGCCGGACAGGTTCACCATGAGGAACCCTGGCCGCAAGCCGCCGGGCAAGGCGGTCAAGCGCAAGCCTGACCGCCAGCCCGCACCCAAGGGAGGTGGACCCCCACCCCCCTCTCCCAAGGTGAACAAGAACAGGCTGAGCGCGCTGGGCGCTGGCCCTTCTGGCACCAGCGGGAGCCACGAGCGCGCACCACCGCGCTCCCCCTCCCCCTCCTCGCCGCCTGCCAAATCACCGCGGCCGTCTGTGCCTGCTTCCGAGTATGACTCCGAGTTCGACTTTTCCGACGCTGAGGCGCAGGATAGGACGGCAGGGGTCGTACACGACGCAGTTCAGCAGGCTGTGATGCAATACGGCTATGACGACGAGCTCTTCCAGGCGTGGAGGGACGGCGAGATACGGCGAAAGGACTTGCCGGAGGAGGTGGTGGCTATGGCTTTGGACCTTTGCGAGAGGTGGCGAGCGGAGCAAGAGCGGTGTAGGCGCGTCCACGCGGCGCAGCGGCTCTCCCGCGACCCCGGCCCCTCTCATAGCCGCAGCCGTAGCCGCAGCCCGAACTCTTGCCGCTCTTCCGTGTCGGGTTGTGACGAGGGGTGAGGGGACACGGATTGAAGATCCCTCACACCAAGATCGTGCAGGGCGGGGACACATGTCCCTAAATCCCATCTCGTCTCAGAGTTTGCCCGTTTTATTTATTTATTTATTCCCGCGCCCGAGTTGCTGTGTTGCTCCTAGTCCGGCGATCTTTGACTTTGTGTGTGTGCAGGGTTCTTCTTTGTACTTTTACATTGTCATAAAGATGAACGCACAATAAACTCTCCAGCGAGAACGAGAGGGCCACACTCGACTGCTGTGTGACACAGTGCGGTGTGTGAGTCTCACTTACTGCACGCTCCGCGATTCATCTTTCATGTCAGGATGTCAGCGAATATTGTACACATTATAGCAGGGTGTGGGAGCTCACGTCCTTCACTTGCCGCATGCCCACGAGGCCTGGTTCATGCGCGCCCAAAGACGCCCTGTGCCATCTGCGCGGCGCCAATGTAACCCTGCGTCGACGCGTGCCCGACGCCCGTCCAGTCGTACTTGGACAGCTTGTCGTCAAGCCGCTGCGAGGCCTGGATGCCGGCCGGGTCCGTCTTGGCCTGATCGGCCGCAGTGCTGATGATGCCGCCCAAGTCGCCGTGCGCGACGTGTCCGAGCATCGCATCGCTGTACTCATCGCCGGTGACGGGGGCGCCGCCAGCGGCGCCCCGGCCGGGCTCGTCGTCGGCGAAGCCGGTGCGGCCGGGCGCGTCATCAGCAAAGCCGACCGGAGCCGCGCCGCCGGGCCGGCTGCCAGGGCGGCGTGGACCAGACCAGCCGGCGCCGCCACCGGGCCCGCTGTGGCCCGTGCCGGGAGGCCCGCCGGGGCCGCCCCAGCCCTGGGCAGGCCCCGCGTAGCCAGGCCGGCCATACCTCTGACCGCCGTATCCCTTGGCAAGGGGGGGGCCGTAAGGCTGCGCATCAGCGTAGTTGGGCACACCGTCTCCGTCGGCGTCCGCGTTGCCCCAGCCTCCGCCTCCCCCGCCGTAGCCGCCGCCGCCGCCCTGTTGCTGCGGCGGCGCCGCGGCGCCGGCGCCGCCGACCGCGCCGCTGAGCCCGCTCAGGAGCGGGTTGACCGCCGCAACCTCTCCGACCTTGCCCGCGACGATTTGCTTGGCGGCCTCTTCGTCGCCGCTCATGTAGTTCAGCCCGGCCATCAGCAGCTGGCCATCGCCCAGCCGCTTCTCCGCCGGCGGCGTCTCCACCGGCACCGCCCTTTCAGCAAAGCCCACGTCGTCGGCAAAGCCCAAGCGAGCGCCACCCATGTTCATGGAGCTGCCGGCTGCCGCCGCCGCAGGCTCTGACGCTGCCGCGGCGCCGCCTCCGGCGTTCAGCGGCGTCGGCGCGGGCTCGCCATTGGCATCGTAGTAGGTGCTGTACGACCCGTAGGAGTTCTCGGAGCCGACGCCTTTGGCCAGCGCGAAGGCGCCGGCCGCAGCTTTGTCGCCCACGCCGACCGTTACAGGGACGTTGGTCTCGACGTTCGTCTTTGCCATGGTGAAGCCAAAGTCAAGGAACTTTTCCGGCGGCTGCTCGTACTCGTGCCACGGCTGGTCTTGGCCAGGCCGCTCATATTGCCACGGCTCGGTCTTGGCCAGCACCTCCTGAGCCGCAGGCGTCGGGTCCTCGTCGTTGGCCAAGACGGTGTTGGCAAGGAGACCCGCCGCACCAGCCGTGATGGGACCGCCGCCGGCAACGGCTCCAGCCACCGACGCGAGAATCACGGCGTTTGTGTGCCCGCCCACGAGGTCGGCCGGGTGCTCCTCCAGCCGCTTGCTGCAGCCGGCCTGGTCGCCGAAGCATTCGGCAGGAGAGAACATCCTCTTCTCGGCCGGAGGGTCGGCGGCGGCGGGCGGCACGACGGCAGCCGGCGGGACGGGGGCGCCGATCGCGAGGTGGATGACAGAAAGCAACATCGCCGGCCTTTTGCGTGTCTTGGACTCCTTGAGGATGTGAGGTGACGCCTTGCTTGGGTTGCTTTTATTTTTCTTCTTTTGTTAGTACTAGCACGCGCCGGTTCGCACCTGTGTCGAGCCTGTCTGCTGTGAGAGAGAGTACTGTTGTTTAAATTCTTTTTATGCCTCACCCGAACATACCCGACGGTGGACTGCTGACAGGGCTGATGATGAGGAGCGACACCTGGCGTCCCATGGTTTGTTTTCCGCGACACACAGGGGCCGCGACCAAGCTCAGCCGCGACGGGGTCGAAACACGGTGTGGTGTTGGCTGAACGCTGGTGCGTGTGTGTGCATCGAAACCCTGGTAGCAGCTAGGCAGCGTGCAGCCCCTTCGCAAGGAAAACACGCCCGGCCTCCCAGCCGGGCTGCCGCCGCAGTAGCTCGATGACCGCGTTTGTCCCCCAAAAGGGGTGCCCGACGACCGGCCCACGCAGCCCGTGGCCGAGCGTGGCGCACGGCACGCCGCCAACGATAGCGACGTGCTCCGAAGCAAGCACGAGGTTGAAGACAGAGCCGCAGCGGCGGGCGACACGGCGCCCAAGGATGTGCGGGAACCGCCACTTCCCGCTGCCGTCGAGCACGGGGTGCCACTCTGTCAGCTGCAGCCCGCCCGGCAGCTCCGTCAGCGTCGCGACGCCGCCATCACACGCGCTCTCGACGACGCAACGCACCGTGGCCACCCCGCCCGGCGTCCGGATCTGAGACCCTGCCACCAACCCGGCGACCGGCGTGGGCTGCTCCGAGCCGTCGCCCTCGACACAGAGAACCTCTGCCTCGGGCGCAAAGCAGCCGCCGCCGCGCATAAACTCCTCCGGCATTGAGGTGTACGCGCTGGCGCGCTGGCACTGGGCGGCCGCAGTGCGGGCGATCCGCTCGAGGTTGGAGGGCTGTGGCGGCGCGAGCCTCGCAAACGCGAGCTCCGACTCGCTCGAGAGGCTGTCGAAGAGCGCCTCGCGGCCTGAGGCGTCCCTCCCGAACAGCTGCAGGCACGCGTCTCGAAAGTTGGAGCGGCGCTCGGCGCGCAGCATCTGCGGCAGTGTCGTAAGGTAGTGGCGGCCCCACGCGCGGAACTTGGCTGGCTGGGTGGCGAGCAGCGCCTCGTCCGTGAGCGTCTCTTTGAGCGGGCCGGCGGAGAGGAGCGCCGTCGCCTCCTCGAGCAGAGTGGGCGGCACCGTCTGCCGCAGGCGCTGCGTCTCCTCGGCCTTGCGAGCTCGCGCCGCCGCCATGCGCTCGCGCTCGAGGGCGTCGCCGCCTCCGCACGCCGCGCGGCCCGCGTACTCAATCTCGCAGACGGCCACGGTGTCCTTGGCGGCCCGAACGACGCCGGTGTAGTCCGTGGTGTCGCCGTGGAGGCGGACCTGAACGCGAAAGGCGATCTTCCGCGGCTCGGGCAGCCCCTCGGACGAGTGGTACGCGTAGTTGTTGACCTCCACCTTGTACTTGCCGGCGGGGGCGACGACGCCCGCCTCCGCGTCGCCGACGTAGACGTTCTCGACCGGCTCCTTGGACTTGGGGTGAGACGCGTTCATGTCGACGTCGAGCTCTGCGGCCCCGCAGCGCGACTTCTTGTTGGAGTAGAAGACCTTCTCTCCCGAAGGCATGGTCACCCACAGGTCGAGGTCCGACTCGTCGTTCCAAACCAGGGAGAAGGTGAGGTCACCCACGCGCCCGCCCTCGCGCGCGAGACGCTGCGCCACGTCGTCGTCGAGCAGCCGGTCGACCAAGCTCAGCCGCCGCTCCTGCAGCGCCAGTGCGCACACGGCGCAGGTGCGCTCCACCTCTGCGCAGAAGCGCGCCTCCTCCTCGGCGCCGGCGGCCGGAAGGAGGCGTGCCGCGCTGCACGCCGCAACCTCCGAGCCCTCAACCGTCAGGCGGCAGGCAAGCGGCTCCGCGCCGTCTGCTCCGACGATGAGGATGTGGCGCGGCTGGTCAAAGAGCAGCGCCCCGATGGGCACGACTACCTCCTCTCCGTCGAGGAACGCCTCGCCCCAGCCCGGCACCGACGCCACGGCCGATGCCGGCGACACACGGAGGTAGGTGCTGTTGGCTGCGACGACGGCGCCAGAGTCGGTGGCGACACGGGCGGTGCTCCGCGTCGCGGCCAACAGGTTGACCATGAAGGGGGCGACCGAGCCTGGGTCGGGGATGTGCAAGAATGCGTCCGAAAAGGAGAGGAGGAGCGACGAGTCCAAATCGTTTCCCAGACCGATGGCGACGACCGCGGGTGCGGCGGCGGTGCTGCCATGGGCTGCCGCGACTGCGGCGGAGCGCTCCTGCACGAGGGCAGAGTAGCCGTCGAGGCCGCCGGGCGGGTGAGTGTTGTTGTTGGGCCGCCCGTCAGTGGCGACCGCGAGCAGCATGGCGTAGTCGCTCGGGTTGGCGGCCACCGGAGGAGGCAGCTCCTCCTCAAAGATGCGGAAGCCGCATCCGATGCCCGCGGTGAGGTTGGTCGACCCCTCCTCTTTGAGCGAGCGGATGGCAGCGAGCAGCGCCTCCTTGCCTTGCTCGGTGGCCTCGGTCCAGCCGATCACCATCCTCGCCTCAGTGGCGTAGCACGTGACCGAGACCCAATCGTCGTCGGCGAGCGAGGCCACGTAAGTGCACGTCGCGTGCTTGGCGATGTCGAGGAGGCTAAAGCCGTGGTCGATGTCGTCGCCGGTCGTGCTTTTGACGGTCGCCGATGCCTCCATCGAGTATGAGACGTCGATGACGAGGCAGTGCGCCCCGCAGGTGGCGCGGACGGGCGAGTCGAGAGACTGCGGCGGCGTGATGGTTGCCATCGTGACGCGGTCGCGCTGCGTCAGCGCTAGGCTGGCGGCCGGCGGAGCGGTCGGCGGAGCGGTCGGCGGAGCGGTCGGCGGAGCGGTCGGCGGAGCTTGGCCGTCTGCCGCTGGCGTGAAGTGGCTGGACAAGTCGAGGAGTAGGGACTGCATATTGAGTCAGCTTTGAGGATGACCGGCGGGAGGACATGTCCAGGTCCTTATCACAGGGCAGCCAAGAAGCGCAATTGGTGTATCTCGATCGCCACAAGCGTTCGGGGCGCGCCAAAAGCGCAAGCTTGTAAATGGTCTGTGGCGGAGAGGGTCAGGATGGTCACAGCAAAACCACTCCCCTTCTCCTCGAATGGACAAACACGGCCTCGGCCGGTTGGAAACCACCCTCCTGTCTTTTGCGACGCAAAATCAGGGGAGCGAATGCCGAATGTATGTACGTATGTATCGAAGGTAAAGAACAGCCAGACTTGGACTGGACTCTGGACACCATCGCGGTAGGGGTAGACGCAAGAGCAGACAGGAGATGACGGGGCGTGGAGCGACACACACACAGACAGACAGAAAGAATTTTACAACCCAACTCCCTCGCACAACACTGGGCACGGGACTGGCGCGCACTGGCACTAACACAGGTACACCACACGGGACAGGCAGAAAGAAAGAAAACGGAGGACATCGCAAGCGCTGCACTAGGCTCTAGGGGGTTGTCTCAGGGGGGGGGGGGGGAAGCAAGGCGGCCCAGATCTGCTCGTCTCAGAGGGTACCCTCTGTGCCAAAAGAGAGGCCATCTACGAGCGGCTCAGAGGGTGCCTGGGCCGACCCTCTGAAGGCCTGTGCCGCCAAGCCAGCCTCTCTCGGCGCAGCCTCTGAGGCTACGGGGACCCTCTGAGACGCCAAGGCAAGCCCCGCGAGGCCGCTCCTCAGAGGGGGGTTTCAGCGGTATTTCAAGTCTGTCGTGATCCCCAACCAACAAGCAGTGAGAACCCCCCCCCAGTTGCCATTTATTTTTCGGATACCTCAAGTTCGAGTTCACGCGGACGCCGTGGCGCCTCATGGCCAAGCTGGAGCAGGGGACGGACGTGGAGATCACTACCTCCTCCTCGGGCAGCCCTAGGGGCGGCCGCTCCAAGCACATCCTCAAGTTGACGGGCCGGCGCCGGGCCGTGCGAACGTCGGGCAGTGGCTCGACGTCGTCGAGCCGTGCTGCCTCTGCGGGCGGCCCGGGTCGGCGGGCGAGTTGGGGCGGGCGGGCGCGTGGCGGTGGGCTAACTCGACAGGCCGCTGCGCGGCGCCCTATCTCGCCACCACTGACGATCGGTGGGAGGTGCCTGGGGCCTGCGCTAGGCATACGTCGCGCATGGCATGTGCGGCGGGCTCTGCCAAGGATGGGGCTGCTGCGAGGCGCGGGGCGTGGCGCAGCCGCAGGATGGGAGCGGCGAGGCGCGAGGCGAGGGCGAGGGCGAGGGCGAGTTGAGCTCGGATGGCGACTCGGACGGGGGGGAGGAGGGCGTGGACTGGCTTGCGGGAGACCCTGCGTGGGGCTCGGCGGCTCTGGAGGACGAGTGGCGCGCCGCGTCTCTCGCGAGGCAGGCGGTAGGCGACGCGGCGTACGCCGCGGCGCATGCTGCTGGCGCTTCGCGGGCTGAGGCGTGCGACGCCGCCGTGAGGGCGGTGAGGGTGGACGAGGTTGAGGCTCAGTCCTCGTTCCTCGTGCGCGCGGGGTGGTACGGCTCCGGCCGTGATGGGGGCGGGGAGGGGGCGGGGGCGACGGCCGCACGGAACCGCCGCCGGCGGGGGGCGAGGGCGCGGGCGAAGGAGGAGGAGCCAGAGCCCGGGGAGGATTGGGAGGGGGAGGAGCGGCCGGAGGAGTACGCCGGCCTCTTTGACGACCCGTAAGGGGCCGTCGCCTGCTGTGCCATTTGTAGTGCCAGTCCGAGCCAGTCTGCTGTGAGAGGGGCTTGGATAGTAAAATTCTTCCGCCACTGGGCTGCCTAAGGTCACGCCCTGCCCTTCCCGCCGACAGCTCGACAGCGTGTACATGCCCTCATTCAACTACACGGATCGCCGCTGCCGCTGGCTGTACTTCACCGGCGACTCGAACGTCCGCAACCTGCTCGCCATCCAGCACCACGCCGCACGGAGGCAGCTGCACGAGTTCCGGACGGCGCTCGCGTCTCCTCACCACTCCGAAGAGGGCGACGGCTCCGTCTATCAGCGAGGGCGACAACGGACGAGCGGCGCGACCTGCGGCACGCGCTGGTTCGACCGCGAATACCTCTACGTCACAGTGCACGGCGTCGGACACTTCCCAGACGCCTCCGTGATACCTCCGGATAGCCGCCTCACACTCCCTCCGCGGCACCAGCGCGGAACGCGTCCATCCGACACGTCTGTGGCCCGTCGGCAGGCGCGTGCACCCGCGTGAGCTTCCGGTTCGTTCGCAGCTCGCTGCGGTTTGGCTCCGGCCGGAGGAACGGCAGCGGCGCGTCCATCTACGATGAGCTCGTGCACGGCAAGAGCGCGGACGCCGCCGTCGCACCGCTCCTCCCGGCCTCAGTCTCGGCTCTCGTCGTCGTGCGTAGGCGGGGGCTGGAGCCGACTCAGCTGCAGCGCGGCAGTCAGCCTCAGGCACGCGACGCCTCCCTGGTCGACTTGCGACAGCGAGAGCCGCTGCTGCCGTGTGTGGCAGTCGAGGGCGAGCCGCTGCGTCCCCTTCCCGCACTCCGTCGTCCGGCCTCTCCGGCTGCCTCGCGTGCCGGACGCCGTCTGGCTGTCGCACGGGCTGTGGACAGTCGGCGTCTGCGCGAGCCCGCGCCGCTTCGCGCACGAGGCCGCCCTCGCCGGCTGGCTGGCGAACCGGACCCGCGTGCTGCTCGTGACCAACTACCCGACGTCGGAGGAGCGGAGCGCGCGGCAGGCGGCGCTCGAGGAGGACGCGCGCTGCCTGCGCCGCGCCGCAAAGCAGCTGCGGCTGCCGCTGCTCGACCTGCACCGGCGCGTGGCGCGGGGCGAGCTGCCCCGCACCGCCAACTTTCACATCAACGCCGAGCGGCTCGCCGAGCTAGCGGCCACGTGGATGCCGCTCGCGGGCCTGAGCGGCGGGGTTGACCTGGTTGACCTCGTGTGAGTGTATTTTGTGATTGTGTGTGGAATACGTGACTAGAAGTGGGTCGGTATGTGGGCTAGGTGTACGACCTACGTCAGTACGTAGCTTTTAGGTCTGTGGAAGGAGTCTGTGGAAGGCGTCGTGAGGAAAAGTAAGCAATCGTGAAGATGACTTGCTGTCCACAGGTGCGGCCCATCGGCCGATCGCATCTCTGATCGACTGAGGCGGCGGCCCCCCTCTGTGCCTGTCCGCTGTCGCGCTGCGCTGCTCTGCGTGCTCCTGGTCGTCGTCGATGACGGTCCAGACCAAGTGTGACCGCCACTATGCCGACATGTTTCTTTGTGCTGCTGCTCCGTTGTTTCGCTGAAAGAAAGAAAGAAAACGGACAACCCAAGGGAGGGATGGGGAGGACGGCACGCCGCCACCACACAGGGATTTTAAGGAGAGGGGTGTGGTGCGCTAGCCGTCGCCCACCCTTGGGCGTCCGCCTCTTCCTATCTCTCTTCGCAGTCTGTTGTTTCGCTGCCGTCCTTTGCCCGGAGCACTTGGAGCACTTGGAGTGCAGTCAGTAACCTGAAGAAGGAAAACAGACACGCCAAACGAGGGATGGGACGAGGGGGTCCCCACCTGCACGAGCAGGATTTTGGAAGAACGATCAGGGGGACAGGTGGGGGTCTCCTGCTCCTGACAAGGGACACGACAGGCTCGCAGCGCGGCGCGAACAACCGGAGCCTCCTGCTGCGCGCGTCGGAACGGAACGCGCGCTGCCATGTCTCTCGCACTTCTCGCTGTCTTGGCTAGTCCGCGCGAGCACGTCAACACGATGTCGAAAAGCGACCGCAGGGTCCTGCGTGCCCTCGACACTGCCACGGGATCGACCACCACCTTCCCTCAGTACCCGGCGTGCCCAGGCGAGTGTGGGACCAATGCCTCCACCGCAATAGCCTCGTGCGGGATGCAGCTCTGCACCGCCTCGGACGGCATCCCCGCACAGCTGATCCCAACGGACAGCGGCGAGTGTGAGATCGTCTGTCTGACCGGCTCCAGCGATGGCAGCAAGCAGTGCCCTCATGTAGCCGCGGGCAAGATGTGGTTTATGAACGGAAATTCGGGGTGCCGCGTCGCCTCGGGCGACATCACCTATGTCGATATCAACACCGAGATTCAATATGCGCGCGCTCACGAGGTGATCCACCCGCTGAACGAACCTGGCGAGGCCGTCTACTATCCGTCGCCGCCGCGCACTGACTGCTACTTCTACCAAGACGCCTGCGGCCCAGAGGAGTTTTGTATGGTGCAGATGCATGAAAAGTGGGGCCCATGGGCCGCCACGCCACAAGGCCTGCCCGCCAACACGGACTGCAATGACGCACTCTTCAGCTTCACGGAGGCGGACCTCACCAATGCCGAGCCGTTGCAGGTTGAAGCGCTGGAAGAGAGCATCTTGACCGACTACTGCGGTGGCGTCGTGCCGGATTCTGGATACACGTCCAGCATGAATGCCGTCGGGCCAGGAGGCGCGGGTTCCGGAGGAGGACCCTTCCCCAGCCCATGGAAGCCCGCGCAGGGCGTTTGCGTCAAGTACCGTGACGCCCAACAATCGTGCAAGCCCTCCCTCAAGGGCAGCGGCAATTTCTATAGCGATTCGTTCATCGCGTTGGCGGACGCCACCAAGACGTCGACACCCTCGCTCGACCGCCCGCTCACTTGCGGACCGGGTCTCGTCTGCACGGGGGACGACGCGGCCCTCCCGAGCACCTGCGTGGCACGACCGCCCGAAGGCGGAGAGGGCAACGCATTCTCCGGCGGCATACAAATCGGCGCCCGCCTCGAGCAGCAGTCGTGCTCCGACAGCCATCCCTGCGCGGAGGGGCTCACCTGCACCGGTGCTGACTTCGAGGTGTTGCCGCACACGTGCGTCGAGGCACGCCCACGGGATGTTTGCTTTGCCGGTCCTTGGTGGGACTCGTCCCGCTGCCCTCGCACGAGCGTGGACGCGCCGTGCGGCGGCATCAGCGCCGCCATGGCGCACGAGGCGCTGCTCTCGGCTCTCCTTCTCGCTCCGGGCGAGGTCGTCTTCCCGGGCCGCTGCGGCTACTGGACCGGGCCGTCCGCCGGCTGGAACGAGCGGCTCGACCGCGTGCGCCGCCAGATCTACAACGTCTTTGCCGCCCTCTGGCCCGCCCCCAACCCCGCCCGCGGCCTCGCGCCCATGCCTCCTTTCGCTTCGCTGGAGGCTTCCTTCTATCTGGGCACGAGCCCAGCCAATCGCACGACTCGCGTCACGGCCGGCGAGTGCAACGACGCGTCGATGGCCGAGTTCTCCACTCCCAACGGCTTGCCAAGCGGTTGTGTGATTGAGAGTGGCGAGTGCCTGTGCGGCGGCGACGCTTGCGGCCCGGCTGGCGGTTCGACGGAGTGCGAGACTTGCCGCATCAAGGCGGCGCTCGCCAACGCCGCACAGCGGGCCTCGCGGCCGGCGCTGGTGTGGAGTCTTGTGCACTGGACCATGCATAACCTGCCGCGCACCCTCACGCGCGAGCAGGTCGAGGCATCCAAGGCGATCGCCCTCATCCTAAAGGACCTCTTCTGGTGCAACGACTGCCGCGGCTTTTTTGCCATCGGGGTGCTCGGCTCGGTGGGCTACCCGCCAGACTCGACCCGCCGCGAAGATCACGCCCGCTACTGGAACATGGGGCACAACATCGCGTCGGAGCATGTCGCGACGACGCGTGGAGGGCACCCTTGGATTTTCCAGCTGGCCAATCAGAGCGCGGGCCCCTTCACGGGTGAAACTTACCAGAACCCCTTCTTCATGCCGTATGAGACGGCGGTGCGGCAATGGACCCAGTGCGTGCCCGCCGAAGAAGGCGCGGGCTCGTCGCGCCGCAAGGTGCTCTTTGGCAGTGTGCCGCCGCCGACGCCGGCGGGCTGCCCCTGCTGATTGATCGACGTTGGCCGTATCGGCCTGAGCCTTGCACCGGAGCCTAATGCATGCACATGCCCCTCTTTCCCTCCCTCCTCGTCCACACTTCTTGGAGCACTTGGAGTGCGGTTGGCAACCTCACATTCAGACCGGGGAGGAAGCCTTTTGGAGCATTTCGCGGTGCGGGTGTGTGCGTGTCATGTGGCTACAGCAAGTAGGTAGGTAGCAAGTGACCATCGTCTGTATTATTACGAAGGCGCCTCAAAAAAGAAAAATCTGGCGCTGATCACCGACGTTTGCCTGGCAGGTTCGTCCTTCCAAAATCCTGCTCGCGCCGCTGGGTTCTTTCTTTCTTTCTGTTTAAGATTCTTCTTTCTGCCTGGCAGGTTGGCTGGCCCCCGCAGGTTGGGCGGATGAGGCACCCGGCGCCACTCATGCTTGGCTTATCTGACGGCCTTGGTCCGCCGCCGCTAGCACTCGTGCAGGGCGGCTCTCTCCGCACGTGGTCGTATCGCGACGCTGCGGTGGCGCGGGTGCAGGTCCTGCTCACGTCGGACGGCCTCCCTCTGGACGCCGACCTCGAGCTCTGGCACGGCCCGACGAACGCACCTTGCAAGGTTGGACACCCCATCCTAGACACACCACTTCACTGTCCATGGCACACACGTCGCCAACGACACACGCGGTGCACTCCTGGGCCCAGTTGTAGTAGAGCGGGTACATGTCGATCACGTAGTTCTCCTTGAGCGTCCCTCCGTCCTCCTCCGAGACGTGTGCCCTGCCACCGCCGGGCTCCTTCACATACACGCACAACCCCAAGCCCGAAATCGCCGGGCTCCTTCACAGGTGCGCGTGTATGCCGAGGACGCGCGGCTCCGCCCCTTCCGGGCGACGATCGAGACGCCGCGCGGCCCCAACTCGCTCGGCGTCCGCAACCTCGGGCCGATGGAGTACGCGTCTCCAGAGCAGACACCCTCCACAGCCCCTGCCCCTCGCCTCCCTCTGCCGCGACACCTCTCCCTCTGCGTTTGCAGGTACCCCTTCTCCGCCTGCGTCGCCGCCGCCGCCTCCGCGCCGCCCTCCTCAGACTGCATCTGCTCCGCCGTGAGCGTGCAGGGCGGCGGTGTCCGCACCTTCCCGGTCCTCGCAAGGGTGGAGAGCGTGCAGGCGGCCTGCTCAGAGAGGGAGGGGGGGCGGGAAGAGAAGGGGGCGACGGAGTTGGTGGAGAGCGTGCAGCCGCGAGGCGGGAGGGGAGAGGCGGGAGGGGCGAGGCGGCCGGAGCTTGCTCTCCGCGGCCTGTGCCACCACCGCCCTTTTCCTCCCCGGCAGGTCTTCCTCGCCACTGAGGGTCGGCCGCTCAACGCGCGGATCGAGCTGCTGCAGGGCCCGAACGACAACAAGCAGGTGGTCGAGCTGTACACGGAGGCAGTGGCTCGCCCAAGCATCCCCTCCGCCCGCCGAGATGGCCCGAGGTGACCCGGGCCCCCTGGAGACTAGGACGGCCTCGAGCGGCCCTTCTTCTGCCTGCTGCAGACACCCGGCGAGGGCAGCGTCGTCAGCGTCATCAACACTGCGTCCGAGGAGGCGCTCCATCGAAAAACACACACCTCGCCGACACCTCGCCGACACCTCCCCGACACCTCGCCGACACCTCGCCGACACCTCGCCGACACCTTGAATGCCGTGGGGCTCCTGCCCGTGTCCCGGGCGTGGAGATGCGAGGGTCGCCCCCCCCTTGCCCCACCTTCACACCTTCACACCTTCACACCCCCCCCCCCCCCGGGCCCCAGTTCCCGATGACGGCTGGCGTCGCTCCTCACGCGATGCAGACAGCCGCCACCTCCGGCGCTGCCCTCGCGGCGGCGCACGTCCTCCTCGACGGCGGAGGCCCTCCGAGCCCAGATGACGCTGGACACAGTCCCCATCTTCCGGCTAGAGAGGAGTAGAGAAGAAGAGAGGGAGACACAGATCCCCGTCTAGAGAGGAGTAGAGAAGAAGAGAGGGAGACACAGATCCCCGTCTTGCGGCTAGCACTCGAGAGACACGCAGCCGGCTGCGCTCCACCGCATCCCTCACTCGTCGCTCTCAGTCCCCGCGGCGCTCCGAGTACACCGCAGGCGACTGTACTCCCGCCCTCACCGCCCTGTCATCACGCACTCAGGCCTCCGAGGAGGTGGCCTTCCAGCTGGCCGGGCGGGCCGGGCGGCGCAGGCGGCGCAGGCGGACGTGGTGCTTGGGGGGGGGGGCTTGCGGGTGCCGGTGGCGGCCCCGAGACACTTCCGCGCCGCTGCCGTGCGGGATATGGGGCTCTGGCCGACGTCACTTCCGCCGTCGGCGAGTGCGTGGGCGAGCGCGGGCGGCAAGAGACGCGGCAGGGGAGGAGTGACTCAGGCACCGGCGGAGAGGGCGGAGGCGACGTGGTGGGTGAAGGGTGCGAGCGAGATGGGGAGGGCGGAGAAGGAGAGAGCCGAGAGGACAGATCTGGCGCCGAATCCGCAGCCAGATGCTGCGGCGCAGGCTGCCTCAACAACAGCGGCGGCGGAGGAGACGGCGCGTCGGCTGGAGGGGGCGCTGCCCTTCAAGGTGCCTGCCTTGGACATTCCCTCCTTGTCCCACCGGGAGCGGGAGGGAGTCGGAGAGCCATCGAGGCCGAGCTATCGCATCGATGGGCAGCATCCCTGTTAGAGCTGTCCGGCGACGACACATCGAGAGTGTGGTACATGGTAAAATACGAAACTCAGCATCAATTTTTCTAATAGAGCCCCCTCCTCCAGTGTGGGATTTCGCGCAATCGTGGGAGGGGGGGAGTAACCCTATCATAAAGCTGTCATTCACACCTTGCACTTTGAAAAAAGAAATGTCCGAGCTTGGGTCGAAGATCCGGAGGGTTTATCAGAGCATCACCCAGATCCTCTGGAAGGCGGCGAACGTACCGTGCAGAACAAGCTGACGCGGGCCCAGTACCTCGATGAGGTGACTTGGACCACCAAGAATTTGGCTAGGGCTGCAGAAGCAGCGTATCTCAGTCGTTCTTCACACGGCCATCGCAGAGCAGATTGTGAATGAGCTTGCCTGCGGCGAGCGAGCGAGGGCGGTCGAGTGCACGGAGCTAAGTAAGTGCCTCGCCGTCCGCGCAGGCAGGAGTCGCTCAGGCGGCTCCCGTGGTGTACCTGTGTTAGTGCCAGTGCGCGCCAGTCCCGTGCCCAGTGTCGTGCGAGGGAGTTTTGTTGTAAAATTCTAGAGAAGGTGCTCTGAGCCCCCCCCCCCCCCCCCTTCCTTTGCGCCCCCCGCCTCAAGCGCCCTACCCCCCCCCCCCCTCCCTTCCTCCCTGCCCCGCCCCCCCGCCTTTCCTCTTCTCCCCTTCCGGCCCAGCTCCACTCATCCCTCTCTCGCCATCTCCTGCAGGTGCAGGGGAGATACGAAACGAAAATTGATGGGCTTGCCCATCCCGGAGTGGTTCGACCCCACATAAATCCGAGACGGTGACGGGAAGCGTCGAGTGATCTCAGGCCCAGTGAGGCAGTGCACAGGCTAACCCGGATCCTGCTGAACAAGCTCCTCTTGTAGCTCGATCGGTCACACCGCCATCACCGTCGGGGAGAGGGGGGACGACACTGCTTCGGCAGCGTGCACCTCGATCGATCCTGTATGTACCGTGTTTGTTATGACCCCCCCAATGAGCACCCCGGTGAGGGAGGGCGAGACGATCGAGGGGTCCCGTACCATGCGGAATCGACCCTATCCAGTGCTCAAGTGCTCAAGAAGGTGCTTCGACAGGTGCCTACGTGTCACGGCGCTGCGCGCCGCAATTGAACGACGCCATGATCGTGCGGCCGAGTTCATCGCACACCTGCGTGCGCTGCCGGCCATGCCGTGGCTTGTGCACGCGTGCTGGCGCGACGCACATGTCCTCAATTCCTCGGCGCACGCGAAGCTCATCGCCAACGGCCTGGGCCGCCTCGCCGCCCCGAGCTGGCGCGTGCGTGTCTGGGACGATGCGGAGATCACGACGACTTGCGCAGCAGCCCACTCGTCTCGCCCGCGGATTTTGCGCTGCTGCAGGACGCGCACATCGTCGAGCAGTCCGATCTGTTCAGGCTGCTAATCAGTGTATGAACGCGGCGGCCTGTATGTCGACCTCGACCGCCTCGCCAACCAGCGGCTCACCACGCTGATCGACGTGAACGTGAGCCGTCTGATCCTCCCGCTGTACCGACTGAGCGACTTTGCTCAAGACCTCGTCGGTGGCGCGCCAGGCAGTTTGCTACACAGGCACGCCATCCAGCTCAACCTGCAGCGGCGGCAAGAGTTGCGCTCCCGCCGCCGAACTGACGGCGCGCTCCCACCGGGGCAGCATTACAGGTCGCGTCCGCTCCAAATTCGACCGTGCCGCCGCGCTCAGGCATAAGTCATACCTTAAGGCAGTCAGAAGTTTATGTGTACCGGTCAGGACAGTACTCGCGACAGTAGCCGACTCTCGAGCCGCATTCGAGCCCATGAACGAACAACATGAAGGAACGGCCCAACGAGCACGAGCACGCCTCGCACCGGTGCGGTGGTGCCGGGCGGCTCTAGGGGGTCAGGCTGCTGCATATGTGGCACCACCCGAAGCCCGTTTTGCTGCCCTGGCATCACCCGGAGGGGGGATTGAACATGGTACTCACGTGTCACGACACACGAGAGCTCGTACGAGATAACGAGTCCCCACTGCCAGGCCCTCTCAGCACGACTCACCTCAGTCCTCAGTGTACCGACACTGATCGCGTGATCCCGTGTGGCGGTGACATGCATGGGTGGGCGGTGTCCGGTGATTCACACTCCGGAGCACTTGGAGTGCGGTCATTAACCTCACGCCCAGGACCGGGGAGCTAAGAAGCGCACCCAGTTGGCCAGACGCTCGGCATCGGGTTGCGGGCTAGAGAGCCCTAGCCCTGGGGGGTGCGCGGTCGCAGGGCCATAACGCGGGTCTCCGACCGAGGGTTGGTTGGTCTGCGCTTTGGGTTTCCCCTAGCTGCGGAGCGCCCCCTCTACTCGGAGCTAGTAACACAAGAATACTCTCCGAGGGTTGGTCTGCGCTTTGGGTTTCCCCTAGCAGCGGAACGCCCCCTCTATCTACTCGGGCTAGTGTGGACACGACACTGCTAGTGAGTGATTGATAGGACACACGCGTGGTCTTGCTTTTAAACTAAAAACAGCACAAAAACGCGACCACAGTTCCCGGGCGTAATCCAAATCACGAGTATTACAATTTGCCAACGACATACGTAAAACAATCGGCATCTTTGAAACTCGGAAAACGCCTCCGGCCGAGCTCAATCGACTTCTCTAGCTTCGGTCTTTCGCTTTTGGTCGCACCCAGACCAAAACTAACTCCACATGGTGAGGCAGATCATGCTGATCCCGGCGGGCCGGAGGGACAGTCAAACTGGGTTCAAGAACGTGTCCTACAATCCCCACAAGAACAAGTATCAGGTCAAGGTCAAGGTCGGCACCAAACAGTACTCGCTCGGCCTCTTCAGCACCGCCGAGGAGGCGCAGCCGTGAGCCCAAGCCAGTCCCTCAGGTTGCCCACGAGGCGGCACCCATCCTTGATCGGCCTTGGCCAACAGGCAGCCCTCACCTACGCCTGCTCTGAGTACGGCCGCGCCGACACCGCCAAGCTGATGATGCCGCATCTTCCTGTGCTCACTCCTGGCCAGGCAATCCAGCAGGCGGCAATGGAAGGCCTATTCCTGATTCGGGACCGGTGCACTTCGCCAGCCCACCGCCCCTGCTCGCCCCGAGGAATGCCTGCCGCCACCGCCGCGCCCTCGCCAAATACGCCGCCACTTTTTCCTGCGTGACTCACTATCACTCCCTCGCCAGTCCCTCGCTTTGTGCCCACGCCCAGATCCACTGAGACCGGTTACAAGGCGGTCTACCCCCATGGCCGCCACAAGTTTCAGATACGAATCCAGGCGTGGAGCACTGCACTAAGACGCCACACAGCAGCTCACACCCCGAGATGGGCTGGGCTCAGGACCAACCGCCGCCACACACGCCAGGTGTGCAACAGGGGCGAGCTAAGGTACATCCCCCTCGGCACCTTCTATTCGGCCGAGTCGGCGGCTCTCGCCTACGCTCGCTCAGAGTACGGCCGCGCCGACGCCACCAGCATCATGCAGGCAGCGCAGCAGCAGCAGCAGCAGCAGCAGCAGCACGCAGCAGCAGCAGCAGCAGCAGCACGCAGCCTCTGGCCTCTGCCTAGCTAGCTGCGACTTGCGTGGTTCGTGGAGCTGGAGTGCGGACTGTGGTGTGTGTGCTCTGCCGCGTGTGTGGGGAGGAGGGAGGCCGCACTGCGGCTTCCGGCGCGGGTTAATTCCGTGCGCCCGTGGGCGTGGCCGTGCACGCAGCACGCACACGTGAGTTGTTTCCCCGCTTACGCCGCGCGGTAGATCAGCCTCATCAAAACGGAGAGACGCAGCCTGTGGTATTTTCTGATCTTATAAACGACCGCAAGGTACGTGTGCATCACAGGCCTCTAGCCGCGCGGGGGGGCGCCAGCCAGCAGCCGCTCCCCAGAGAGCCTAGGGCCTAGCCCGGCCAGCCTGGCGCCAGCGCTGTGCGCGACAGTGGAAGGTCGTGGGGCCATGCGAGTCAGTACACCTCTGATGACGCTTGAGCGTTGAGGATGCTTGGGTCCATATTGGCATATAGTCAGTACAACTCTGAAGAGGCAATATAATCAATATAAAACCAAATGCGCAGAGCAGGATCCAGCCTCTTGCGTCTGTTACCACTGTCGTCCGTCGCCTAGCCCAAACTGTTGTCCAAACAGCGAGCCTAGCTCCGAGGAGGAGGGGCCCGCCGCGCTGCCGCCGCCGGGCGAGGCGCTGCCCGACAGCCTCCGCTCCGCCTTCCACCGCACGCTCGACGAGGTCGACTCGCCTGCGAGCCGCTGCAGCAGCCGGCGTGCCTCGGCGCCGCGATTCGCGTCCGCCTCAAGCACGTCTGCAAGGAAGAGGTGGAACTCGCCCCCCGACTCGGAGGAGAGGGAGACGTAGCCGGAGACCGCCGCCAGCTCCTTCTCCGCCCGCCGAGGCAGCCCCGCGTCGAGCCACCGCCTCGCGTCTCGCACTGCGGTCGCTATCTCCGCCGCGTGCTCCACCTCCGCCGCCCCGCTCTTCTTGCGCCGCATCGCCTCGAGCTTTGCGTCCGCAAGCCGGCGCGTCTCCGCCGACGACTCCTTGCTGAAGGACGAGCGTGACGTCGCCGCCGGCGGCGGCGCCACGTCTGAAGCACCCAGCGCTTTCAGCTTCCCGTCGAGCCTCGCTTGCAAGGCGTCGAGCGAGCTCATCGCGTCGGAGGCGGCGCTGAGTTCGACGCCCTCTCCTGCCTCTGTCGCCCGGAGCGCGCCCTCCGCAAAGCCGTCCTCGCCGCCGCCGATCTCCATCCGGCAGCGGCGGCCGGCCCACTCTGAGGCCCGCGCCGCTTGGCAGCCGGTTTTACCCAGACTCGTAAACTGGTCAAGGAGGATGGCGGCGAGGAAGCCGATGTGGAGCATGTGCAGATGCTACACTGTCTTCGCCTCCACCGCGAACGCAAGAGAGTTTACAACGCGCCCTCGCAAGAAGCAGGCCGCTAAACAAGAACCCAAGCCCGTTTTCGCAAGACAAGCGGCGACCCCCAGACAGCGATTGTGGGGACTACATGATCCTTACGTGAGGGGTGGAGGGGCGGCCCCCCGCGGAGCTAGGCGGCGTGGGCCCGTGGGCGCCCCCCACTCACTCTCTCACGTTACAGGGAACAAGAGAAAGTGGATACACAAGAACGAAAAACGGTTTGCTCCGCCGCCGGAAGAAACACGGCCACGTGAGCTCATCTGCTCCCGCCGCTGGCACACCCAAATATATATGCGGCGAGGCACCCGCGCCGCTCAGACGCTGCGAGCTGCCGCGCAGCCGGCAGCGGCTCGCCCACTGCCTTCGCTGCCGCTGCCTTCGCCGCCGATGCCTTCGCCGCCGCCCGCCGCCGAGCCGTCGTGGGCAGCGTGGGTCGACGGCACCGTCTCCGCACTCGCTGAGCAACGGCTGCTCCGCTCTCTGAGGCCGCTGACGCCCGATCCTGGTTGCTCACGCCGCGTGGTCCTCTCGGCGCCGTCGCCGCAGCGGCTGACCGTCTTTGCAGACAACGACTACCTCGGCCTGAGCTCGCACCCCGAAGTGCGCGCCGCCGCAGCCGCGGCGGCGGCGGAGCACGGCTGCGGGCCGCGCTCGTCGGCGCTGGTGTGCGGTCACACCGAGTGGCACGAGTCGCTCGCTCGCCGGCTCGCGCGGCTCAAGCACGCGGACGCGTGCGAGCTCTTCCCGACGGGCTTTGCAGCCAACGCCGCCGTGCTCGGTGCGCTGGCGACCTCGCCCGGCTGCGCCATCTTCTCCGACGCCCTGAACCACGCCTCCATTGTCGACGGAGCGAGGCTCGCCGCCAAGGGCGCCGGCGCTGCGCTGCACATCTACCGCCACAACGACCTCGCCCACCTCGAGCGGCTTCTCTCGGCGAGCGCCGCGCCGCGCAAGCTTATCGTCTCAGACTCGGTCTGCTCCACCGGCGGTGCTCTCGCTTTGCAGGCCACCTCTTCACGCAGAGGCGTGTGAACAGGTCTTCTCGATGGACGGCGACGCGGCCGACGCCGCGGGGCTGGCGGCGCTGCGCGACAGGCACGGCGCGCTGCTCGTCCTCGACGAGGCCCAGATGCGGCCCGAGATGCGGCCCGAGATGCGGCCCGAGATGCGGCCCGAGATGCGGCCCGAGATGCGGCCCGAGATGCGGCCCGAGATGCGGCCCGAGATGCGGCCCGAGATGCGGCCCGAGATGCGGCCCGAGATGCGGCCCGAGATGCGGCCCGAGATGCGGCCCGAGATGCGGCCCGAGATGCGGCCCGAGATGCGGCCGAGATGCGGCCGAGATGCGGCCGAGATGCACACCGAGATACCCGAGACGTAGCGGAACCGTCTCCGAGCCTCCCCTGAGCCTCCCCCGCAGGCGCACGCCACTCTCGTGTACGGCGAGGGCGGCGGAGGAGTCGCCGAGCAGGCGCTAACCCTAACCCTAACCCTAACCCTAACCCTAACCCTAACGGCGAGGGCGGCGGAGGAGTCGCCGAGCAGGCGGCGCTTGGCTCAAGAGAGGGTTAGGGTTAGGGTTAGGGTTAGGGTTAGGGTTAGGAGTCGCCGAGCAGGCGGCGCTTGGCTCAAGAGAGGGTACACCGAGAGGCAGCCGCTTCCAGCGGCTCGCTCAGCCTTCGTCGCGCGCTCCTTCTAGGCCGGGGTCGCCGACCGCGTCGACGTCTCAGTCGGCACCCTCTCGAAGGCGTCTCCGTAGCGACGAGTCCACGCTCGGCCGATGACCCTCGCAGTGGTGACCTGTCGGCTCCTCTCAAAGGCGTTTGGAGCGCACGGCGGCTTCGTCGCGTGCTCCTCGCCGCTGCATCAGCTCCTCCTCTCGCGCGGCCGAGCAGGCATCTACTCCACCGCACTGCCGCTGCCGGCGGTGGCGGCGGCGGACGCCGCTCTCGCCCTCGCCACACCGCAGCGGCGCGCGCAGCTCTGGGCGCGCGTATGCGCCTTCGAGGCGGCCATCGGCAGCGCGCCTCGCCAGGCCTGCGGCGCCGCGCGAGGCCCGCTGAAGGTTGCCGTGTTGTCGATTTGCGGCTGTTTTTTGGTCAGGCGTGCGGCTGGCGCAGCCCGATCGTGCCGATCGAGGTGGGGAGCGAGGCGGCGGCGCTCGAGGCGGCGGCGAGGCTGCAGCGGTCCGGTTTCTTCGTGCCCGCCATCCGCCCGCCCACCGTGCCCGAGGGGACGTCCCGCTTGAGGGTGGTCGTCACGGCCGGCCACGAGGAGGAGGAGGTGGCGGAGCTCGCTCGCGCGCTGAGCGAGTCGGGCGTGCTGCGGCTGCGGGACGCGCACGCGCGCGGGGAGGGGGAGTACTAAGAAGGGCCCGGTCCAGGTCGACCCGCGGTCCCGGAGAGGGGCCGGGCCGTGGGCGCCCGCCCCCCAGAAAATGATGCATGCGATTTACGGCCAGTACTCCGCAGAGTTCTTGGTGAAGGAAGTATAATCAGTATATTGTGAAGCCGGGGGGGGGGGGGGGGACATGACACATGTGCGGATGTCTCGCGGAAACGAAAATCGACATTCAGCCTGGGCCGGAGCCGACGCCGGACGATCCCGCCGCAGCGCCGTGCCCAAAGTCGCCCTCAAACTCCTCGCGGTCGCGCTTGCGCGCCGCGCCGTCCGGGCCGTAAGAGCCGAGCCTGATCTGGGCCCGCTCTAGCCAGCCAAGAAGGCCAGCCTTGTGCTCGAGAGCGAAGCGCTTGTAGGCCAGAGCCCCGTCCACCGCCTCGTACCAGCCTCCGCAGCGCATCGTTGCGGGCGGGAGGCGGAGGACGGTGGTCTCAGATTCGAAAGCCTCGTCGCCGATCGTGGCTGTGTCTGGCACGGTGACGCGGGAGAGGGAGGAGCAGAGGGCGAAGGCGAGGCTGCCGATGGAGGTGAGGCCAGCGGGGAAGGTGACGCGGGCGAGGGAGGAGCAGTTCCAGAAGGCGCTGTCGATGGAGGTGAGGCTGGCGGGGAAGGCGACGTAGGCAAGAGAGGTGCAGCCAGAGAAGGCGCCGTTGCCGATGGAGGTGAGGGCGGCGGGGAGGTGGATGGAGGTGAGGGCGGAGCAGCTGTCGAAGGCATTGTGGCCAATGGAGGTGAGGCCGGCGGGGAGAATGACGCGGGCGAGGGAGGAGCAGCGGGCGAAAGCGTTGCCGCCGATGGTGGTGAGGGTGGCGGGGAAGGTGACGCGAGCGAGGGAGGAGCAGCGGTAGAAGGCGTCATCGCCGATGGAGACGAGGCTGGCAGGGAAGGCAACGGATGCAAGAGAGGTGCCAGAGAAGGCGCCGTTGCCGATGGAGGTGAGGCCGACGGGGAGGCTGATGGCGGCGAGGGAGGAGCAGCACTCGAAGGCGTAGTCGCCAATGGAGGTGAGGCCAGCGGGGAGGGTGACGCTGGTGAGGGCGGAGCAGTAGTAGAAGGCTTGCATGCCGATGGAGGTGAGGGTGGCGGGGAGGTCGATGTAGACGAGAGAGGAGCAGCATTCGAAGGCCCGGTTGCCGATGGAGGTGAGGGTGGCAGAGAAGGTGATGGAGGAGAGGGCGGAGCAGCTGCCGAAGGCGCCGTCGCCGATGGAGGTGAGGGTGGCAGGGAGGTCGATGGAGACGAGCGAGGAGCAGCCGTAGAAGGCGCCCACGCCGATGGAGACGAGGCTGCTCGCTCGGGCAGGCGACCGAGACGAGAGAGGTGCGGCCTTGGAACGCCCCGTCTGGCAAGTGCGTCATGACTTCGGGCAGCACCGCGTGCCCGTCGGTGACGACGACCTGCCAGCCGCCCACGTCCAAAGTCTCGGAGCCGGGCGGCGGCGCGGTGCGCGTCGAGAGACACCATCGTGAAAACAAAGAATTCGACCGCCTTGACAGCACACAGGTTCGACACAAACAAGAATTCTTAGAAACAAGCAAAAAAACAAGAAAAGCTAGTGAGCAGCGTTCAAAGCATGCCCACCACCTTCGACGACCTCTCGCACGACGACCTCGTCGCCATTGGCGAGGCGCTGCCGCCACTGTCTGGCCGATGGCGTCTCAGAGGAACGTGCCGGAGAGTCCGTGCCGTCTTCAACGATCCGATCGCTGGACTGCTGCTGCCGCCGCCAACCCTCATCACAGAGGCCGTGACCAGAGGTCCGACGCAGGCAGAGGTCTCCAAGTACGGACCTGCGGGAGTGTCGTGGCCCGAAACTGCCAAGCTCATCTCGATACAGTGGGCCAAAGGCATCCAGCCCGCTCAAGCGCCAGAGGAGGTCGGCAGCTACCCGGTTGGCGTCACAATCTGGAGGTCGCTGCGCGAGCCCCAGCTACGCCGCGTGCTGCGGCAGGTCCGCTCGCTGGCCGAGGGCTCAGAGCGCAGCCCCGAGTGGCGCGTGCAGGTGCCCACGCGTCCGTATGAGCCCGCGCGCTTCGACATCTTTTTCAAGATTGCGTGGGAGGCGTTGCCGAAGCTCGCCGAGCGCCTCATGACCAAAGTGGCGTCGGCGACCTTTGCCTTCCGCGCGCCCGCCGACGACAAGCTGGACGCGGCCGCGCCGGCGCCGCGGCTGCCGCGGCTGGTGGCGCTCGTGCAGCAGGAGCTCCGCATGAGCTGCGAGTCCGAGGGCGCGCGCGTGAATGCGGCGCTCGACGAGGCGATGCGGGACTACGAGAGCTCCGCCACCAAAACGGTGCACGTGCTCAGGCAGCTTGAGCGCCTGCTGATCCACGCGCGGCTGAGCGAGGTCCGCACCGAGGTGCTCGGGCGCGTGCTGGCGACGAAGCGGCGCGTGCTCGTCGAGCGGCTGAAGCACCATCTTGCGGCGCTCCAGGAGGAGGCAGCAGCCGAGGCGCGGCGCGGCCCGCTCGCGCTGCTGATCGCGCGCTGCGACGCTCTGCGCGAGACGGTGGACGAGTGCCGCGCCCTCGCGGATGACGGGGCCATGCTGGACTATCAGCTCCACGCCGGCGAGCCCATCGACTTCGAGGACTTCGAGCTCGACGCCGATGTGACGCGTCTTCGCGCGGCGCTGCACTTGCGCGCGCGGCGCCTCGAGAGCGCGGCGGACCTGCGTCAGCAGGCCGAACGCATCAGCTTGCTCTCGCAGCAGCTCGCGAATGGGCTGGCGCTGCACGAGCGAGAATTCGAGGACGACAGTGGCGCCGACGGCGGCCTGCTCGAGCCGCTCAAGAGCACCGAGGGTTTCGCCGGGCTGGTCAAGACCGCGTTACTGGAGCTGGGTGGGATGTATGATGATGACCCTGCGGCGTTGGCGCTTGGCGCTGGCGGGGATGTCGACAACGATTAGCGCCGTCGAGCATGTCCACCGTCTTGGAGCATTTGGAGTGCAGTTGGTAGCCCGTCACATCCAGGGCCGGGGAGCTAACCCCGCTCGCGCTCCGCGCGGCCTCCTTACACCCCCATTCCGAAGGGGCTCCTCCCTCCCCTCGGGCCTCGGTCCTCCTTCCTGCTCGCCTTCCGTTGGTCACGCGACGGTTGCGGGGCCCGCTGCGGCCTCCTATAGCCTTTTTCGCGGCTGCGGCCCCGTCGTCGTCTTGCCTTCTCTGCCTGATCTCGTTGACTCCGCCGACGGCGATCCCGTGCCCGACTCCCCGCCGGGCGAGGGCGGCAGCATTAGGTCGTCTCGCCGCACCTCCCCGGGACCCCGGGAGGTCGGGCCAGCCGTCTCCCTGGTCGACGAATCGCGCTCGCATCCGCGGTCTCTCTATCGTAATCGGCTCGCCCACCCCTTCCGCCGACTCCTCATCGAGCTCGGGGAGGCGTGGTCCTCCTTGTCGTGGTTCATGATAGTTCAGCTGTTGTTGCGACGGGTCTACCCCCCCCCCGGCGAGCCCGTATGCCCCAGCACCACCGGGGGGCTGAGAGCTGTTGGTTGCCGCTAAATTCACAGCCGTCAGTGCGGAACAAGGGTTGCAACCTGGAAAAAGGACGGCTCGCTGGTAAAAAGACAGCACCAAGGTAGGGAAAAGACCTTCCTTGCCACTGTCGGACACGGCCGGTGGGAACCTCCTAGCTTCTTTTCTACCATTACGCTCGGCAATTGGACAGTCACCGCACGGGGCAGCCACGCATTGATCTCGAGCGCAGCACGCCGCGCATCTACTCACTCCATGTAGCCACGAATAGGCAACCGTGTCTACGGTTGGCTCTCGGGCCCAAAGCACCGTGTAGACCTCGGCTTTCGCGCGAGGGGCGACGCCGCCGCTCGCTCGCTACCCCACGGTCTTATAGGCCAGAGCTTCTCCTCGGTGGCGCCAAGGGATGGCCGTGTCGACGTTTACCCAAAGGTGGGTCACTTTGCCACCTCTGCGATGGCGGAGGGCGCGGTAGAGGGGGAGGCGCAGCGCGTCATGGCTTGCCACAGCGGTCGCGAGGGTAGCAGTCGCCTCACCAGTGGCTTCCAGCTCTCTCTCTAGGCGCTGCTGTACGAGATGCCGTCGCCGCATGCGACGGAGTTTGCCTTCTCGCGCTTTGGCAAGCCCGAGGAGGTGGTTCTGAGAGAGGCCTTGGTGCGGGGGAACCGCGAAGCCGCTGCTGCTGAGATCGCCGAGGGAGAGGCTGCGGACGAGGGTCGGGCCTAGAGCTCGCACACACTTCGATCTTCGCCACATTCCAACAAAGGCAACACCCTACACGGCACGCAACACAGGCACCAAAATTAGACCCGAACGAGCAAAAATCTGGATCTGAGAGCCGCGGTTTGACGCGCCGCGTAGGCGTACACCACCCCACAAATCCCCGCGCGCACCACTTCTCCTCTCACACCGGTCACCGCGCTCAGCGGATCTGATGTGCTTTTTATATTCTCGTACTCTACTCCGTCCCTCAGTGCCCAGATATTCCCCCCAAAACACAAACGGGTTGGGTGAAGCGGGGCGTCAGTCATCGTGGTCGTCGTCACCCTCTTTGCTGCAGCTGCCGCTGCCGCTGCCGGCCTCGAGCTGACGTTTGGTTGGAGAATCCGCACGTCCACCCGGCAGCTGCGGCTCCCCCCGCCCCCCCTTCACCAGGCCCTCGCCCGGCTCGCCCATATCCGGGAGTTCGGAGCAGAGGCGCAGCTCCTTCTCGGCCAGGAGCGTGACGGTGTCGCGCAACTGCCGCTCCGGCGCGTGCCACAGCAGCGGGGGGGAGAGCACCGCGAGCCACAGCCCCTTGTGGCCGGGGCACTGCTGCACCGCGCGCAACTGCACACGGCACGCAGCGTCGCCGCGGCCGGCAGCGAGCTCAAGGCGGATGTACAGGCGCCAGAGCGCGGCGCACGCGCCGCACCGCGCCGGTGTGAGGGCCTCCTCGAGCAGCGAGCGCGCGCGCCGCTCGCGGCTGGCGCGGCCTGGCGCCGACTGGCTCGGGGCGGCCTGCTGCCCGCCAGAGCCCGCAGCGAGGAAGCCAGGCACGAGCTCGGCGACGTCCGCGTCCGCCAGCTCGGCCGCCTCCGTCCCAAGCTCGACGAGGACCTGTTCACGAGCGGGGCGGTGTGGAGGGCGCCTGTCTCCCTCGCCGCCTGCTCCGGGGTGCGGCGCGGACCGAGCCCAGCCAGAGCTGGAGGCAGCTCGGGCTGCGCGAGCGCGCCTGCGCGAGCACGGCGCGGAGGCCGAGCCGCGCGTGTGTCGACGAGCAGAGCGAGGTAAGGGCGCCAAAGAAGGCGGCGTTGGCGGGGAAGGCGAGCAGGGCCCGCTCGAGCAGTCGGCGGCGGCGGCGGGGCGGCGTGGGCTTGCTCTCCGCGTGGCGCGTCTCGACCCAGACGTACTCCTCGAGCAACGCCTGTTCAGAGCACGTCGCCGTGAAGAGACACCGCGCACTATTGAGCAGGCAACCGCCCGCTGCTCGAGCAACGCCTCGTGCTCGAGCGAGCCGGCGCCGGCGAGCCGCGGTGCCGCGCCGCCGCCCCAAGTCGCGCCTCCTGGCGGCGCCCCGCCCGCCTCCAGCGCCGCGAGGACGCGCTCAAAGACGGCGGCGGCCGACTCCACGCCGGACGTGAGCAGCTCGAGAAGCGCGCACGCGCTCACGACGTGGCGACTCTCCGCCGAGAGGGACGGCAGCGGCGGGCTGCCAGCCTCCGGTCGCAGCAGCCCGTCGACCTCCTCGCTCAGCGAGCGCCGGGCGCGCAGCAGCAGCGGCGGAGGTACCGGCTGAGACGGCGGCAGCGCAGAAGCTTCCGGCGCCCACACCGCCGCAAGAGTTCGCAGCGCCGCCGCCGCGTCGCCGCCTCCGCTGCCTCCTGCTCCTCCCCCGCCGCCTCTGCCGTCGCCTCCGCCTCCCGCCCCTCCGAGCTCCAGTTTGGCCGAAAGGTAGGCGAGTCCAACCAGCCCGCGCGGCGAGAGCGACGCGGCGGCCGCCATGCCGATCGCCGACGAGCAAACGCGGCTCGCTTCGGCCCCCCCTCCGGCGGCGAGCGACGCGCGCGCGTACGCCGCGTACAAGGGCAAGTCGTGCGGCCGCCGCCGCAGCAGCGCCTTTGCGACCGGGCGGCAAGCGGCGGCGGCGGCGGCAATGGCGGCGGCGGAGGAGCCACCGCCAGCAGAGGCCGGGGCTGCCCTCGTTGCCCCGGAGGCAGCGGCGGTGCGCATGGCGACGTAGGCGAGCTTCGGGTCGGAGGGGAAGAGAGCGCACGCGTGCCTCAGCAGCTCCGCGCCGAAGGCTGCCACCGCGCCTCCTCCGCCGCCGCCTCCGCCGCCGCCTCCGCCGCCGCCTCCGCCGCCATCCCCTCCTCCTCCAGCTCCTCCACCTCCAGCTCCTCCACCGCCATGCCACGGTGCGGCGCCATACGAGTCGTGGAGGACGGCGAGGGGGTGGGAGGAGGGGAGGTGGACTTGCCTTGCGCCTGGCAGGCCGAGGAAGACACGGCTGGGCCAGATCTCGGCCAGACCTCGGCCAGATCTCGGCCAGACCTCGGCCAGATCTCGGCCAGATCTCGGCCAGATCTCGGCCAGATCTCGGCCAGATCTCGGCCCGATCTCGCGCCTGGCAGGCCGAGGAAGACGGCGAAGGAGAGGAGCAGCTCGAGCCTCGCCGCCGTCGAGTCGAGGCGGGCCAAGTACGGGGCCAAATCCTAGATCTCGAGGGCCAAGATCTCGCCGAGATCTGGCCGAGATACGGGCCGACGGATGGGGAGAGAGCTCCTCAAAGAAGACGACGCGCTCCGGGTCAGCGTCGGCGGCGGCGGCCTGACGCGTCGCAGAGATGGGCAGCTCTCGCTCCGCTGACAGCGCTCGCTCCTCCCGCGCCCACAGACCCGCCCGGAGCGGGCAGACGCCGGCGGCCGCTGCGGCGGCCCCCGCTCCGCCCCCCGCCCCTGCGCCGCTGTCGGAGAGGCCTGGAGGAGCCGACGCCTCCGCCTCCTCCTCCTCCTGCTGCTCCGCAGCAGCAGCAGCAGCAGCAGCAGTGGAGTTGCACCAACCGCGCGCCTTCGGCTCGCCGACGCGCGGCGCCTAGCGGACATGTCTCGGACATGTCTCGGACATGTCTCGGACATGTCACCGGCGGCTCAGCCGACGCGCGGCGCCTCCGACTCCCAAAACTCCGCAAATGCGTCGAGCCGCTCGCCCAGCGGCGCCGCGAGCAGCGCCGGCGGGCAAAAACAGTTGAGCTCGACCGCAGCCTGCAGCAACTCTTCATGGCTCACGACTCATGGCTCAATATTGGTCCATCCTCATCGGCCTGCGCCGCCTGCAGCAGCGCAGTACCGCGCTCCGAGAAGCCGGCGGCGCGCTCCGCGTACGCAGCTCGCAGCAGCAGTAGCAGCGCCCCGCGCTGGAGAGCGTCCACGGCGGAGGGCGGCTCTCCGCCCGCGGCCGCCTGGTGAAAGAACGAAGAGCTGCTCCTGGCAACTGCTGTTCTTGCTACTTGAGCTCTCTCCGCCCGCGGCCGCCTCCTCAGCGCGCCCCCTCAGGGCGGCGGCGGCTGCGGCGGCGGCCTCGCGAAGCGCCGAGACGGAGAAAGACGCGACGTGGCGAGAGGCATGGGCGAGGCTTTCCATGCGGAGCATCACCGAGCACGGGTCGCCGCGGATCGCCTCCTCCCAAGCGCTGCCCACCTCCTCCGGCTCGAGAAGCGACTCCTGAGCGCGCAGCAGCTCGACCGCCACAGCCTCGTTGCGAGGGTTGGCGGCGACAGCCCGACGCAGCACAGACACCTTGCGCTCCGCGACGGCGCCAGCCCTCCTCCCCCCCCCTCCGCCGCCGCCGCCCTCGAGCGCGCCGCCGCCGCCCTCCTCGAGCTCCGCCAAGGCCAGCCACGCGGCGACGTCCCCCGGCCTCTCCCGCGTCGCCGCGTTGAGGGTGCGCACTCTTTCGCGCGCGCCGCCCTCGCCCTCGCCCTCGCCGCCGCCGCCGCCGCCCTCTCCCTCGCCGCCGTCGTCGGACTCGTCGAGCGGCAGGAAGGTCGGCACGCCCTCTCCTGCGTCGCCTCTGCTCGCCCTCCTCCTCGCCCACCGCCTCTGCAGCTGCGTGATTCGCAGCGGCGGCCCCTCGCGTCGCCCTTCGGAGAGCGCCTGTGGGACATGTCCGGGACACGTCCGGGTCATGTCCTGGCGGCCCCTCGCGTCGCCCTTCGGAGAGCGCCTCGATGCGCCGCGGCCGCGGCGCGAAGTATCGCCGCCCCGCCCCTCGCCGCGCAAGCTTGCGGTACCTGCCAGCGAGGACCGTCTCATCTATTCATGCAATCAGAGCCGCGGCGTGGGCGCCTCCTCTCTCTGGAGCGCGTCGCCGAAATCTAGCCTCCCGGGCCGGCGCTGGCAGGTGGTCACCGAGGCGTGTGTCCCGCGTACGAGCAGCCGAAGACGGCGTTGTCAGGGTCGCCTCGCACGTCAAACCGGAAGAAGGCCTCGCCGCCGCCGCCGCCTCCCCCTCCTCCTCCTCCGCCGCCGCCGCTGCCGCCGGCGTCGGCGCCGTCGAGCCAGCGTGGCGCCACGCGGCCGCGCGGGTCATGGGTCAGCATCGCCCGGTCACGCGCCGCCATCTTGGAGACATCACTCGTCTGAGGCGCCGTCGCGTCGTCCGACTCGCCGCTCTCGTCGTCGTCGCTGCTGCTCCCTGCCCGCCGCGCACGCTTCCGCTTGTGACTCTTGCCCTTGGGATCCTTCTCCTTCTTCGGCTTTGAGCGCCTGCGCTTCTCCTTCTTCGGCTTTGGACGCGCTTCGTGCCGATCCTCGGACGGCGGCAGCGGCGGTGGCAGCGGCGGTGGCAGTGGCGGCGGCGGCGGCTGCTCCGGCGGCTCTGACGGCAGCGGCGGCGGCGGCGGCGGCTCCGGAGGCGGCTCCGGCGGAAGCGGTGGTGGCGGCTCTGGCGGAGCTGGCTTTGACGGCTTGAAGCTGGACAGGTTCAGCCAGCTGTCGGCCATGGCAAGTCGATAAAAAGAATTCTCCGAAACAAGCCCCTCTCACAGCAGACGACGTCGAATGCCGCCGTCGCCGAACCATGGCGGGCGCGCCGCGGCCGCGCGCAACCTTCGTCACAATGCCAACCGCGCGCGGCCGTCGACCGGCAAGCACACGCCTCGACTCGGACACACTGTTCCGAGGGCAAGGGAGAGGGGCTGGCCCCTAGCCCGAGAGGGGAGCTTCCGAGACCCACTACATGACCGCGCACGCATCATCCCGCGGCCTGGCGGTCGGCGGGATTGCAATCAGTCTTCGCGTGCCGCCTGTCGTTCGCTCGGGCGCCTTGGACGTCGGGGTGGCGAGCAGGGGACGCGGCTCTGAGCGCCCAGCGACGCGTGCCGGATGGAGTCCGGCCGCGGGTGACTAGGGAACTTCGCTCAGGATGTGTGGCAGTCAGTTTGGCTGAGTGTCTTGTCTTGTGGTTCTGTGTGTCGCTCCTGTGTGACCGTCATCGCCCGTCTAGCGTCCACCCATACCGCGTTGGTGTCCCAGTCGTTGGTCGGACTGTGTTTCGCCTTCCCATCAATCAATCAAGCAGACTGGCTCGGACTGGCGCTACAGTCGATAAAAAGAATTTTACAAACTGCCCAGGGACTGGCGCGCACTAAAAAGAATTTTAGCGGGGGAAGGTGGCATCCATCCCTTGGGTTGTTCTTTCTTTCTTTCTTGCCTTCTGTTTTCTTTCTTTCTTTTCTGGCGCGCACTGGCACTAACACAGGTACACCACGGGAGCCGCCTAAGCGACTCCTGCGAGGACGGCGAGGCACTTATAGCTCCGTGCAGGTGAACCTTCTTTTCTAGACGGCTAGGTAGGATTGAGAGCAGCCTCGCTCTCAATCCTAGAAGTCGATGGATTGTGAGCAGCAGTCCTCGCAATCGTAGCATCTCTGTGCGATTGTGAGCGCCTACGCTCGCAATCCTACACTACTTCTAGGATGGTCGAGCGGTCCCTCACTGGTATGTCATTGGGGGGGGTTTGGATTGTGAGGAGACCATCCCGGCGCGCTCACAAGCGCTCGCGGCTGGAGCGACTGGGAGCGCCCCTCTGTGCGCCTGCCAGCAATCCTTGGACATGGATCTTTGGTACGATTGTGAGCGCAGCCGCTCATTAGTCCTACATACAAGATGTAGGCGACTGCGAGCGCTACTGAATTGGAGGCATGCTGCTAGGATTGTGAGCAGTGCTGCTCGCAACCCTAGACTTTGCTCGGATTGCGAGCGCGCTGGTAGTAGTCGTAGGCGTCGCCAGCCACCTTGGGAGCGGAGCTGCTCGTAGTCCTAGAAGATGTATGTAGGATTGCGAGCGTAGGCGCTCACAATCGCACAGAGATGCTAAGATTGCGATGACTGCTGCTCACAATCCTTCGACTTCTAGGGTTGAGAGCGAGGCTGCTCTCAATCCTAGCCGTCTATCTAGATAGAAAAGAAGGTTTACCCTCCGTGCACAGGTGCACTCGACCCCGCCCTCGCCGCAGGCAAGCGCATTCACAATCTGCTCTGTCTGCTTCTGCAGCCCCAGCCAATTCTGGGTCCAAGTCACCTCAGAGGTACTGGGCCCGCGTCGCCACGACCGACTTGGAAAGAGAGAAAATGCGCCTCCTCATTGGGAATGATCTCGTCAAACCGCCCGCCTACACCCCTGTAGACCCTCTGCATCCTTGCAATGCGTGCGAGCACCCAGCAGCAGCGCTGCGTCGCTATTGTCGACCCCATCTCGACCGGAGCCTGTGTGGCCGTGGAGGCGACCAAGCGCGGCTACGCCGTGGTCGCAGTCTGGTCGGCCGTGGTCACAAAAGACCTGCGCAACATGGTGCCGGAGCATGCAAAGGGTCTCCGATACCATGCCCAGGTGGACGAGGGAGAGTCGATCGAGGCGACGACACAGCTGCTCCGCAAGGCCGCGGCGCCGCACAAGGTCGACGCTGTCATTTGCGGCGCAGAGGTGCGCCACGCCACCGCCGCCGCTCGCCCCTCCACGCACCAAGCTGGCATATGCTCTGAGGTCACAGTATGGGTTCGGCACCTGTTCACAGCAGTGTGAAGTGCATGGCACCACCTCTCACCCCATCCCGCGCGCGCCTCTCGCAGACGGGCGTCGAGCTCGCCGACCGGCTGTCGCAGCGGAGCGGGCTGGCAAGCAACGGCACCGAGCTGGGCAACCGGCGGGACAAACACACGCAGCAGCAGGCCTCCCGCCACACCTGCCTGGCCTACCCTCCTTCCCCTCCATCGTCGCCCGCGGCCCATCCTCCCAATCCTCCTCAGGCGGTACGCGAAGCCGGCATGCGCGCCGTGCGCGAGACGCTCGGCACCGAGTGGCAGACGGTCGCTGGCTGGGTCGCCTCGGAGCTCGAGGCAAACGGCAAGGTGGTGCTGCCAGCAGCTAGACGCCTCGCCAGTGGGCAGAGAGCACGCTCGGCACCGTCTCGTGCCGCTGACGCCAGCCGTCTCCCCCGTCCCAGGTCGTCCTCAAGCCAGTCGAGAGCGCGGGCTCGGACGGCGTCAAGCTGTGCGCCTCGCTGGAGGAGTCAAAGGCACGGCCTCGACATGCTCAGACGCCTGAGCCGTGCGCAGCGTCGCATCACGCCTCCGTCCGTGAGCAGGCGCACTTCGAGACCCTCATGGGCGCGCAGCGCCGCGTCGGCGCGCAGGGCGGCGCCGTGCTGTGCCAGGAGTTCCTCGTCGGCCCCGAGTACGTCGTCGACACCGTCACCTCGGCGGGCGAGCACAAGGTGACGGCGGTGTGGAAGTACGACAAGCGGCCTTGCAACGGCGCGCGCTCCGTCCACTGCGTGGGCACTCCCCTCACACGCCCCTAGCCCACCTCCTCAACACCCCCGACAGGCGCGGCCTTTGTCTACTTTGGGATGCTTCCGGTGCCGCCGAGCGAGGCGGTGGCGCAGCGGCTGATCGGATACGTGCTGCCCGTGCTGGACGCGCTGCAGATCCGGTACGGCGCGACGCACGGCGAGGCGCGCTCGGCGTAGGGCCCGGCCCGTGGCCTCGTCGGGGAGCCTTTGCCGGAACCGGATCTCCCCCCCTTGTAGGTCATCCTGACCAAGGACGGACCGTGCCTCGTCGAGATGAACTGCCGGCCGCACGGTGGCGACGGCAACTGGCTGCCGATGGCGCGTGCTCTCACGGGCGGCTACTCGCAGGTGGATGCGCTCCTCGACGCTTTTGTTGAGCCGCAGCGCTTCGCCGCGCTGCCGCCTTGCCCCGGGACGTGGCAGGCGGCCGCGCAGGAGTTCCTCGTGGTGAGCACGCAGGAGGGCAAGGTGGCAAGCGCGCCGGGCTACGAGCTCGCGCGCAGCCTCCGCTCGTTCGTCTCGCTCGAGGCGTTTGTCAGCGTGGGCGATCAGCTCGCTCGCACGGTTGACGTCTTCACGCAGGCGGCCTCCATCGTCCTGGTCCACGCCGACGCCGCGGTGGTCACGGAGGACGCCGCCGCGCTGCGCAGGCTCGAGCAGAGCGGCGACTTCTTCACACTGGCGGTCGAGTACCCGTACCAGACGCGCGAGTCGCTCCTGGCGAGCGCGGTGGGCACGCCGACCGCCACCCGCGTCCCCCTCCCGGCTTCCGCCTCCGCCACCGGCTCGGTGCACTCCCTCAGCAGCGGGGGGCACAGCGCCTCCTTTGTCATCGACACGACCCCCTCCTCGCCGACGCTGCGCCGACCCGAGAGGCGCCCGCCGCGCGTGGTGAGGCCCGCGCTGCGGCCGTCGGGCCTCTCGGTCCCCTTTGTCGGCACAGCGGGCCGCCTCGCCCGCATGGCCCGGGTGGGCGCTTGAGGCATGGGGTGGCACAAGAGTCCACAGCGCTGGAGACCCCCCCGGATCGCCGCCGAGGGGCTTGTGCATATGTGCGGGGTGCAACCCTGGTGCAACCATCGCGGCACACTGCTTTACTCGACTGCATACTGCGGAGCGGGGGTCGGTGGGTATGAGCGGGTGACTGCTCGTCTCTCTGGTCTCCGCCCTCCCCGCTCCCCCCCGGAGGTGTGCCGCGGCGCGCCCGGATCAGGAACGCGATTTAATAAATAAAAACGGACACCTCTACTAGGAGATGGGTAAAAAGGAACAGGTCCCCTCCCGTGCGATCTTTGTGCAGGGTTCTTTGTGGGTGTGGTCGGCGAGGCGCTCTAGTAGCCGGGGTCGTGTCCTCCCGATGGGGGCGCTAGCACTAGCCGTCTTCCACATGGTCCCGCCTCGGGTCCCTGCTGCTCCTAATTTCTTCGTACATCCTCCTGCTGATCTCCGCAACGTCCTGCTCCCTCACTCGGCTCGTCTCGCCCTGCGCGTCCCTGCTCCGCGCCTCGCCCCCCCGGCATCTCGCGTCTCTGCTTGCGTGCGATAAATTTTTACTTTATTGCAGTACATTGATTTCCGTCTCTTTGTGTTTTACGGTGTGACTCGCCCCCCCTGCCTGCCTGCCGCTCCCGTCCGCCACACACGAACGTCTGTGTCGTCGGCACCGACACGTGGGTGCACGCGGCCGAGAGAGACGCGCCCGCTCGCCGCGCGGGTGGCACCGCTGATAGGGGCCCCCACACCCTCCCAATAGAGAATAGCTGAACCGCGTTGATGGCGGCGATGGTTCCTCACCACATGTGTAAGACATGGCTGTTGGAAGCCGAGACGCACACTCAAGATGTTGGGACAGCGCGACGTGCCCGTCAGATCCCTATAGGCACTTGCGCCTCGGAACTTAGACCCTTTCTTCACGCCTTGATGTCGTCGATGGGGTCAATGTCCATGCCCGGAACACGGCTCAGCCTGTTGTCGATTTCTGAGGCGGCAGGGTGGCGCGGGAAGCGGAAGGTGAGAGCGGCGGCGATGACGGCTCAGAGGCGGCCTCGCCACCCCTCGCGGCCCCGTCCGCCCTCGCCACCGTCAGCACCCGGCAGGGGAGGGCCACCTTTGCCGTACTTGAGCAGCAGCGGACGCAGCAGCATGGAGTAGGCCATCTTGGCGCCTGCACGAAGCGTGTGCAGGCAGTTGGCACACAAGGAGCCACTGATGGATGTGGAATGAGGCGAGGAAGGAGGAGGGCGGTACTGGGGCACCGCCGCAGAAGGCAAGGAAGACTAGAACGCCAAACATGATCTCGCCGTAGAAGGGGATGATGAAGGAGACGTAGGAGCAAATCTGTGCCGGCAGAGAGGCAGGGATGATGGCAGTCGGGGGATGGCGGCGCAACCCGCAAACTCCAAACAGCAGCTCACCGACTCCACCAGGGAGAAGATCGAGTACACGAACCAGAAGGTCAGCCACTTGGTGTCATCCTCAGTCGCTTCCGACTCGAGCGCCTACCGTGACGCGCAAGGGCTTGTCACACTGCGGGGTGTCCCCGCAGCGTTGAATGCGAAGGGATGCAATCGTAAATGTTGTTGTGCCGTGAGGCTAAGAATGTGGGCGCGAGGCGGAGCGCCTTGAAGGACAAGTACCCGCACAGCAGGAGCAGGATGTGCGTCGCGAGATCCATGATTACGCCCGGAATCATCGCTGCTCTGCTCTTTGGTTGCCGCTCGTCCGTCCTCTAGTGCGGCCCGACTGCGATGAACGGATCAACGGATCCAGCCACGAGAAGAAACGCTGCGCCAAAGTCCGATTCCAGGCCGTTCTGTCGAGGCCAAGGTGGGAAGCTGTCGCTCCACTGGTCCCCCGGGTTAAATAAAAGAAAGAAAGTGCATTTTAACGCGCCTCACGCCAGCGCAACCTCAGACTGCAGTAGCGCCAGCTGCAGCGCCAGCGGCCCACCACCCATGCGGCCGTCCATGGCTGGCCAGCCACATCAGCGAGTTCGCCACCCGCCGCCGCCCGGCTACACGGTGCCGCTGCCGCCTGCAGGCTCCGCGCCGCCAGTGGCCGGATGGGCGCCCCATCCGGGCGGGCACCCCATGGGTCGGCCACCGCACAGTGGCCCGCCGCTGGGCCCGCCGCTGGGCCCGCCCGGCGCTCCACCGCTCAGACCCGGGTTCCAGCGCCCCTTTGCCCCTGCGATGATCGGGGGTGGTGCAGCGCTCGGGGTCCCACTCCGCCCGCCAGTGCAGGAGCGCGACCTGGCAATCGCCTCCGCAGTGGCCACCGCCGCTGCCAAGGCGGCGTCAGAGTGGGACGAGGCCGAGTCGCGGAGGGCGAAGGACGCCAAGATGGCTGCGCGCAGGGCGGCCGACGAGGCGGCAGAGGCGGTGGAAGCGCAGGCGAAGCTGTGCGAGGAGGCGGATGCCGCGCTTCGGCAGGCGGTGGCCAAGCTCGAAGAGCTCGAGCGCGTCAAGCAGCAGGCGCACACCGGGCTGCCGATGCTCCACAGCGGCACCGCGAAACGCTGGAACCCGCAGAAGGGGTTCGGCTTCATCGTGCCGCGCGGGGGCGAGGGGTCCGACCTCTTTTGCCACACAAACGACATCTTGGACGGCGTTCGGCTGCCGGACGGCGCCCCGGTGCGCTTTGTCCAGTGCTTCGACGAGCGCAAGCAAAAGTACTACGCGGCCGAGGTAACGGGCGGCGCTCCGGCGGCCGAGCCCGAGGCGGGGGAGGAGGAGAGCAGGGGCGACGGAAAGGCGGGCTCAGGGTGGCAGAAGCCGAAGCGGCAGCGCGCGCTGGAGTGACGACGACGTCACGTTCTATTCTCTACCAATCCGGTTTGTGCGGCCTTCCGATCCCCCCCTCCCCCATCCTTTTGTCAGTACTTTTATCCCATCTGCCATCTTCAATCCACAATCGACACGAATGGCCAGACTAGTTATAGAAACCTAGATGCACTTGGAGCACTTGGAGTGCAGCTGGCAACCTCACACCCAGGGCCGGGGAGCTAAGAAGCGCGCACCCAGCGGGCCGGATGCTCGGGTATCGGGTTACGGCGCGGGCTACGGCCCTACATAGACCGCTAGCGCTACAGGCTACACTGATCACTGTACACAGAGAGTACAAGTTGGGCCTACAAAGTCTGAAGAGTGAAGTCCAAGTGCCAAGTCGCAGTGGAGAGAAGCAGAGTACACGACAGTGATAAGAGTTCCATAGCCGGTATGCATCAATGCTTGCACGGTACCCCGCTACCCGCGGCTCTCAACCCCCATCGCGTCGTCTCGCCGCCTGTACCTCCCGCGTCCCGCCGCCCTCAGCCACGGCGACCGCTGGCGCCACGCGCCTCGCATCGCGCCGACGGCTCGTCTCGCTTCGGGCAGCATGCTGCCCACGCGCAGAAACACGTGCGAGTGCGCGATCGTCGGGATGGAGCGAAGCGGCGGCACGTTTTGGAAGCAAACGAGTGGCACATCGGATGGCGACGCCTCGCCTTTGATCTCACGCGCAACGAGCGCCCTCGCGACCGCAGCCTCCGACGCTGGGTCCAGCTCGGTGTCGCCTGGCGTTTTATTCGGATGATGCCACAGAATCCAGTGCTCGATCCCGTCGTCGAGCAGATATGGTGCCAGCGACGGCTCGAGCGCGCTGCCGCCGTGCCATCGGACGTACCGTACGACGTAGTCCGCGTTCGAGATCCGGCCGTGCTCAATACACCAACGTTTGTACCGATCGTACATGGCGTTGCCGTTTGGTGACCGGCCCGGGTACTCGCCCGCGGCGTAGCGCGCCGACTGATTGGCCGCGTGCGCCTTCAGGTCCTCCCACGAGTACGGCCTGTGCAGCGCGCAGCGGCCGGACACGATCCGGCCGCGGCACCCAGCCTGTGGCGCGGCGATTGCTATGGCCAAGGGCGCCGTCAGCCAGCGGCACATGCCTCTGCAAGATCTTGAAGACCCCTCGAGAATTCTTGTCGCGGACGCCTCCACCTCCAAGCCCTGATACAACAAAAAAAGACATGCCTAGACCGGAAACTCGAGCGAGCCCAAGCAGCGCCGGGATCCTCTCCACCGTGATGCTCCTCGCCATCATCGTCACCACGACGTGTCAGCTGCGGACGGGCGTCGCCCACGACCCCCATGCATCGAGCTCTTCTTGCCGTCGGCTCTCCTGCGTGCCGGCACAGAGCTCCGTGCCATCCCTCCAGCGTGATCGTGACGAGTGTATCGCTTTGACGGATCGACCGTACTTGTTATCAAGACTGACATGACGTACACAGTGACACGTCAGACGACACATGCTCTCCCACCCGCGCCGGGCCGCAAAACGCTCTCGACGAGAGCCACAAATAGCCGTCCGCACAGCAAGCCGCTCGGTCGATCACGTTGCTCGCTCGATGCCGGCGAACCAAAAAAGCACGATTCTCAAGTTGGGCCCTCCCCCCCAATGAACACACAGTGAGGGAGGGCGAGACGATCGAGGGGTCCCGTACCATGCGGAATCGACCCTATCAAGTGCTCAAGTGCTCAAGTGCTCAAGTGCAAGCCTCTCTCACTGCAATAAAGAAAACAAGTCGCACGCGCTCCAATCAGCAAAATGCGTTCCGGGCATTTGAACGCGACCCTCGAGGGCGAAGACATTGGCTCTATGGCTCAGACTGGACTCCTCTTGGTCCCTTCTCATCTGATGCCCTAGGCCACACCTGGGCCTTACCTGGGGTTCTAGGGGCCGGGCAGGGTTTGCCCCCCGAAAGTGGCCCGGGGAACCTTAACGCGTTCTAAGCATTTTTCATTGGAATCTGAGGAATCTCTCTACTCTCTCCCTCTCCCTCTCCCTCTCTCTCTCTCTCTCTCTCTCTCTCTCTCTCTCTCTCTCTCTCTCTCTCTCTCTCCCTCTCTCTCTCAGTGTGTGTGTGTGTGTGTGTGTGTGTGTGTGTGTGTGTGTGTGTGTGTGTGTGTGTGTGTGTGTGTGTGTGTGTGTGTGTGTGTGTGTGTGTGTGTGTGTGTGTGTGTGTGTGTGTCCACCTGATAAGACGTTTGAGGGGGATCGGGGGCTGTGGATGTAGGCGCTCGCTTTATCACGCTCGGCCAATAAGACGCCTGATAAGACGTTTGAGGGGGATCGGGGGCTGTGGATGTGGGCGCTCGCTTTATCACGCTCGGCCAATAAGACGCCTGGCCACCAACACAGCGTCCATGCTCCTTCGCCTCGTCGCCTCGTCGCCTCCGCATCAGCAGCGGCTCGTTGAGCAGCCACCACTGCCCCCCCCCACCGCTAAGCGGCAGCAGCCGCGGCCGCGGCCGCCGCAGGGGCAGTGGCTGTCGCAATACGCGCAGTCGCAGGAACCACCAACCAACCCGGCGGCCGAGTCGGCCCTCGTCGAGATGGGGTTTGCGCTCGCTGACGCGAGCGAGGCGCTCTACCGCTCGGGGAACGACATTGCTGCCGCGGCGGCACTGCTGGCCGACCGCGCTGCCACGACACACAGTCGTTTCTAGTAGCAGCGGGGTGCGCCCGATAGCGCCCTGGACCCACTGCCGCTCGGCTTCGCCCTCGTCCGGCGCACTGCCCTCTCCCTCTAGCGCCCCCTCCCCTCCTCCTCACTCTGTCTAGTAGAGCTCCGAGTGTTCAGTACGAAGGCCCTTGTGCCCAGTGTCTACCGTTATAGAGTCCTACATGACGCGCGATGCAGGATGCTGCGGCAACCGAAATGCACGCATGGGCATGCTGTCGAGTGTCGTGTGCGACGATGATCGATGTATCTTGTATCAGCTCCGTAATTGGTAGTTAATGTGACCTCCTAATAAAAATGCCTACGCGCACGACACTTACACACTCGAACCAGTCAGTGGTGGTGGGGGTGGGTGGTGCAGCTGCAGGGGGCAAGGGGGGGTGTGGGGTTGAGCTTGAGGCTCAGTTGCTCAGATACGCGTCATGCACGACCCATGGGCATGCGAGCCGGGAGGGGGAGGAGGAGGAGAGAGAAACTCCGCACCGCCTCCGTCACACACAAACGCGCATGCCCGCGCCGCTGACAGGGGTCGCGAAGCGTGTCGCCGAGCAGCGGCGGCCGGCGCCATCGGCAGCGGCGGCAGCGGCGGCATGTACGCGGCGCGCTGCGTCTCAGCTCATCGATCGTGCGCCCGCTCTCCAACGTCGCCGAGATCCCTGCCTCGCCTGCCAGGAGCGGCGTCGAGCTCCTCGCTGGGCAGGTGCGCGGGTAGAGCTCTCCACCATTCTCTGCCGCGATGCATCCCGGCTGCTGCGAGCACGGCGCCGCCCGGTGCGCGCGACATGACCCCTGCCGTTCCCGCGCACGCAGGTCACCGAGGAAGGAGGTGGACAAAAGCAAGACATATGAGCGCGCGCCCGCCGCCGCCATGCAGCCCTGCCCCTTCCCGCCGTCGATTTCGTCGCCGTCCGTGCGCGCGCCGCCGTAGGTTCACTCCGCCGCCGCCGTCGCCCCCACTTCCGCCGCCCCCGTTTTGCGCCTCGCCGCCGCCGCCGTTCTCCTTTTTCCCGCCGCCCGCGCTTCCCTCAGTCGCGCGCGCGTGCGGCTCGCCTGCGTCGCCGCCGCCCCCCCTCTCGCCGCCGCTCCCCTCACAGCCTCGTACAAGGGTGCCGCCGTCGGCGCCACAGCCGTCGTTGGTTCGCTCAAACGGTGACTCTACCCCATCCCCCTCTGTACTCCCCCACCTTCTTCAGAACCAAATCCTCACCCCCCCCCCCCACTGCTCCCCGAATCAGGTGCCATCGCCACGTTTCCGTCGGATGAATTATGTGGAATCGTACCCCTCGGTGGTTTCCAAACCTGTTCAAAAATGGACGCTTACAGAAATCGGCAAAAATTCAACCGTCACAACAACATCATTGCGAGAGACGAGGAGTGACTCTTGCTCAAAGTGCACAAAGGGTGGCGCGATTTCGGTTGAAATTCGCGTCACCACTCGCCGCCTCTCGCCGCCGATCGATGACGGAGAGGAAGACCGAACTTCGCCCCAACTGCGAAACGATTGCGATTGGCGTTGGCCTGAAGGACTTAACCCGTTGCTGAATCTCGATGCACACCTTTCGCTGCGAAATTGGGAGCTCAAACCAGGTCATGTCGCCCCATTGCGGCTTGTCGGAACACACCTTTCAGTGCGGCATTGGGCGCTGGAAGGAAATCAAGTTCAGCTGATTTCAAACGCTACCCGATACTACTACTCAGCTTCGTCTTGGGCTAGCCATAGATACCTGCTTCTTGATGAGCGCACGGAGTACTTTGAGTGGCTCTGCACCGTTCGATCACGATGCTTCGGATTGCCACCGGGCTTGGTCTCCCTCGGCGGCAACTCTGCATTTCTCAGCGGCTACGAAGCGTAGAGCCGACCGGGAGGAAGCCGGGGAAGACGACTCCGAGGAGGACGAAACACCAGTGGAATCCCGCCGTCAGCTGTAATTGGGGACAAGGCTGACGTCGGGCAGCGGCAGATCATCACAGAATGGAAGGGCCGGAACTTGTCCCTCGAGAAACAAAGGTTCAACAAGACGGTGCAGCACTACCGTGGGCGTGTGGAGCACCGAGCCTGTCAAGCAAAACAGGCCGTGTGGGGTGTGGGTGTCACGAGGACAGACGTCCACGAAGACGGTGGACGGACGCAAACTCCTTATCCGATTCACACTCACGGCTGTCCTACTGGTTATATAGAAAGTCGGCCGTCTGCGAGCCCCCGGCTCGCCGACGGCGAGAGAGATGCCACGAGGGGTCGCGGTGGCGTCCATCGCCAGGCTCCCTAGCTCAACCGACGACCCTTCGGGATCGACGGCCGATCGTCATTCATTGGCCAGGTAGTGGACAACCGTATATGGCTCTGTGCACTACGTGGCGACGCGTGGCTCGTTCACCCTGCTTGCCGCGGTCATGAAGATCGCGGCGCACATGGTTCTGGGCTCCAGGAGCGTATGAAGGGACCTATAGGTATGATGTGTTTGGCCCGTGGCCGGTGTGCCCGCCGCGCATCGCCGCGCCGCCCAGCCGTGCAGCCTAGCCAGCCGGAGGCCGGGGCCGCAAATGTCCCAGCCGCGCCCCCGAGCGAGGCCGAGCGAGGCCGAGCGAGGCCGAGCGAGGCCGAGCGAGGCCGAGCGAGCGGTCCCGAGCGGTCCCGAGCGGTCCCGAGCGGTCCCGAGCGGTCCCGAGCGGTCCCGAGTGGCCCCAGAGCACCCCAGAGCACCCCAGAGCCTACCTGAGAGCCCACAGCCGCTTGGCAGGCACCTGCCCGAGCCTGTTTCTTGTAATGACTAACATCCTGAGAGCGCGCCGCACTTGGAGCACTTGGAGTGCAGTTGGCAGCCTCACATCCAGGGCCGGGGAGCTAAGAAGCGCACCCAGCGGGCCGGATGATCGGGATCGGGTTACGGGCAAGAGAGCCCTAGCCCCGGGGGTGCGCGTTCGCAGGAAAAGGGCCGTAAAGTAAACACGGGTCTCCGAGGGTTAGTTCCGTGTACCGGGTTTCCCCTTAACTGCAGAACGCCCCCTCTACTCGGAGCTAACGGACACACAACACTGTACTCCACGTACGTACACGGATACGCCTCATATGCGCCCGCCCGACTCCGGTCCCAGAGTCCCTTCCTTCGCCTGTCGGGGCGAGCCCTCGGCTCGTCCCGGCCCCTTGCTCGCCTTCCGGGCGTTACCAGACTGCCTCCGCAGTCGTTTCTGATGCCTCTTCTTCGGCTGTGGCCTCGACTCCGCTTCGCCGGCTGGTACCGCAGCCTCCGAGAGCGTCGCCGGCCGGGGTCGCCCCGGGCGAGGACGGTGGCATTAAGTCACACCCACTTCCACCCCCGGGGGGTCGAGCCCGCTCTCCCTGGTCGGCGAGTCGTGCCCGCACCCGCGGCCTCTCTATTGTCCTCGGCTCGCCCCCCCCCTCCGCCGGCTCCTCCTCAGGCTCGGGGAGGCGCGGCCCTCCCTGTCGGAGATCACGGTGACCCAGGCCCCATTTTTTCATTTTTGCGTAGCCCACACCACGTGACGTTGTCACATCACGATGCCCAGCAACGATGGCAAGATGGAGGTCCGCCGCCGCCATCCCGCCGCGCCCGCCTCGTACAGCGCCACCATCAGCCCTACCAGTCCCGTCGCCACCGCCCAGCCTGATCACGCCACCCGGAGATATCCACTCATCGCCATCGCGAAGACGTTGATGACAGCCCGGGCCTGCCACGCCTCTGCTCCCGCCCCTCACATTCACCGCCCGCGTCCGGCAGCGCACCTACATCATGATCAAGCCCGACGGCGTGCAGCGCGGGCTGATCGGCGACATCCTCAAGCGCTTCGAGCAGAAGGGCTTCCAGCTGCTCGCGGCGAAGCTGATGACGCCCTCGCGCGAGCACATGGAGAAGCACTACGCCGACCTTGCCGGCAAGGGCTTCTTCAAGGGCATGATCGACTACATGATGACCGGCCCTGTCTTCTGCATGGTGTGGGCGGGAGATGGCGCTGTCGTCACCGGCCGCAAGATGCTCGGCGCGACCAAGCCCTCCGAGAGCGAGCCCGGCACCATCCGCGGCGACTTTTGCATCCAGATCGGCAGGAACATCTGCCACGGTAAACCGCCTCAGCCGAGACCTGGCCGAGATCCCGAGATGCCGCCGAGATTTGCCTTGGCGAGGAGAAAGACGTCGCCCAATCCGCTGATTCTGCCGACTGCCGGAGGCCTCGTGCGGAATGCGTTTGATCTTCTTTCGACTGACTCCCGCCCCCTGCGCGCGCGCGCGCCACCCGCCGCTCCCCTTCGCCGCACCGGCAGAGAGAGGAAGCGAGAGCGGGAGGGTGAGACGGCAGAGGACGATCCACAAGGAACGGCCAGCGTAGCTCCCAACAAAGCGCTGACGACCATCCTACAAAGGGCCACCACCCATGGACCGATGCCACGCCCCCCCCCCCCCCCAGCACCCTCCTTGATGCGCCTCTCCCCTCCCCCTTGGGCACGCGGGGATGTGACCAGATGCAGACGCGGGCCCCCAGCCGTCCCGCGCTGACGATCCAACCCATCACCATTTTTCACCTAAGGGTACCCCCCCCCCCCCCTCCTCCTGCGTCCCTACCCCCCCCCACCCTCCTCCTGCGTCCCTACCCCCCCACCCTCCTCCTGCGTCCCTACCCCCCCACCCTCCTCCTGCGTCCCCCCAGCCCCCTCCTCCTGCGTCCCCCCACCCACCCAGCCCCCGCCCCTCCGCCCCCGCCCCTCCGCCCCCGCCCCTCCGCCCCCGCCCCTCCGCCCCCGCCGCTGCCGCGCCCCTGCCCCACCGCGCGTGCGATGAGGTCACCGCATGAAGAGATGTATCCGAGTCAACCCTTGCGGAAAGACGCTGTCAGTATCGCTAACTGAGCACGCCAGCACACCCCCCCCCCCCTCCCCCCTCACCCCCCCGGCCCCGGCCCCGGCCCGCCCGCAGGCTCCGATTCGGTCGAGAACGCCGAGAAGGAGATTGAGCTCTGGTTCCCCGAGGGTGTCTGCTCCTGGACCTCGCACAGCCAGGGCTGGATCTACGAGTAGAGAAGTTGCGGCAGGCATAGAGAACCTCGAGGAGAGGAGAGGAACTGCGAGTAGATCAGATTAGATCGCCGTGCACGTCGGCAGCGAGCCCCTTCACATTGTTCAAAAATAACACTTTTCACTTTTTTGCAAAATGTTTTACCCATCTCACAGTAGATGTGTCCGTTTAATTTATTTATTTGTTCCAAAATGTTCGATACTTTCTGGGGCGGGGGCGCGGGGGCGCTGCCGCTGCGGCCATGTGCACGAAATGCACCAAAGCGCAAAGGCTTAAAAGTTAAGGCGATTTAACACGCCCCACCGGGTCTCAAGGTGTACAGAAGCGGGACACTCAAACACATCAAACGACCGCGATGTACGTGTGCGCTGCGTTTGTGTGGCGTCGAGCACAGAGAGGCGCAAGCGCCGGCTGCGAGCGGGGGCGGTCGCGAAGGGTGGTGACACCGCACAGCGAGAGCGAGCCGCCGCCCGAGAGGGCACCAGCGGGGCGGCCGCCGCTAGGGGGGCGGTGCTGCTCGCGCCGGCGCTGCTGCTGCATCGGGCCCCGGAGCAGGCGACAGCCGCTACTGCGCCGTCGGGTCGAGCTGCTTGCGCATCGCCGCGCACTCGGCCTCCAGGCGGAGGCACTCGGCCTGTTCACAGCTCGAGCGCGTGAAGACGCCTCCCGCCCCTCGGGGGCAAATCTCGCCCACAACCTCGGCCGATCCCCGTCGTGTCTCGGTCGTGTCTCGGCCATCTCTCGTGCAATCTCGGTGCAATCTCGGCTCTCATGCAATCTCGGCGAGTCTGGCGCCTCGATCTGCAGGTTCTTCTTGACGCCCCCCACCCACCCCGCCTCGAGCCGCGCCAGCTTTGGCTGCAGCTCCACCTGCTCCTCCTTGCGGCTGCGGTTGACACCGTCCACTTCTTGCGACAGCCCCGCCGCCTCGGAGGCGAGCCTCGAGCTCGCTCGCTCGAGGTTGGAGAGGTGCGCGAGCCATTGGTTGGCGCCGTGCTGCTGCAGCAGCTCGAGGTTGTCGAGCCGCGTAGCCTGGTGCTCGAGCTGCGCCTGCGCGTTCCCGACGCTCCTCTCCCACGCCATCGGGTCCTGCTGCTTTTGCTTTGGCGGAGGGTCGAGCTGATACCTGCTCACGTCCATGGTCGGCATCGGCTCTTGGGCGTTGACCCGCAGCCACTCGGCCTGGGGGGGGGGCGGCGGCGGCGGGGGGGGGGGGGGGCTCCGGCTTGCCCACATCGGGGGCGGAGGCTGCAGTCTCCCTCCCGGAGCAGAGGGGAGGCGAGGGAGGGAGGGAGGATGGCCGCGGGCGGGCCTGGAGCATCGGGTGGTTGGCAAAGTCTGGCTCGGCGGCGGGGAGGTGGGCGAGGGCGTCCGGCCGCGGCGCGAACGTCTTCAGCTCCTCCGCGATCAGCCTCTCCACCTGACAGGGGAGGAAAGCGATGGCGGCGACAGGCTGCGGCGGTGCGGGTGGCGGCGGTGCGTGTGGGCGGCGAGGTGCTGGGAGTGCCAGCGAGAGAGGCGGCGGCGGACGCGCGGCGGCGGCGGTCGCCAGTGTGAGGGCGGCGACGTTGGCTGGCGGCGGCGCGGTGTGCAGCGGAGGCAAGCGGTGGCGGCGGCGGCGGCGCCTCGGCACGCATCGCGGGTTCGTTGTACTGCCCGTCGATGTAGGGCAGCGCGTCGATCTCGACGCGCGGTGCGCGGAGCATGGGCGGAGGATCGTCGGAGGCGCCAGCTTCCATTGCAACGCAGCGGGCGAGTAGAGGCAGCACACGCACGCTCTCTCAACCAGGCGTGCGACGGGGAGAATTTACTGCGCGTCGAAGGCGATGAAGCCCTCTCTGACTGGGGCCCGCCCTCCACAGCCGCGGCAGCGACAGCCGCATCCGCCGGAGCCATTATCAGTCCAGTTCGCGGCGAATTATCGTACAATGGAAGAAACTTGTTTCTGTTAAGGTACCCACTTACGTTTTAGCAGGGGGGCCAAGAACCCAGAACAAACATCCGGGCAACTCAGAATCAAAGTCGGGCGTCCGTCCTCAATGCGGCTCGCGCCTCTCGGCAAGCTCGACTGCGGCTGCGACGCTGGGTACTGCCCACAGATTACGTGCCGATTGCTGCAGGACAACGACGAGGAGTCAAAGCCTGGAGCCGTGAGGGAGGGGTGTAGAGGATGTAGAGTGTAGAGCGCTGTAGAGCTGTAGAGCTGTAGAGCGCTGTAGAGCTGTAGAGCTCTACATCCGCCGCGGGACGAAGCGCCTGCATTGTAGAGCGATGTAGAGCGCGATTTTGTTGTAGAGTTTGTTGTAGAGGCTCTACAGCAAAACCGCGGGAAGGCAGTGACTCAAAGAGGTCGAGCCGCGCTAATGGGGTGTCTCCGAGCTTACTGGAGCTCTGATGGACGGCCCTGACTATCCCTGACACACAGAGAGTCACTCTGACGGCACACAACACCCTATAACTGCGTCATGACCAGCATGCCATGCGTCGCCGGTGCCGCATTCGTCGCAGTGCTTCTGTAGCAGGCGGTGGACTGTCGGCTGCGAGGACGGTCGCATTTGCGCGAGGCGAGGCGAGCATTGCTGCGCGTTGCATGCGCCATGACTCGCGCCAGCGCTTGCGGGAGCTCCTGGCTGAGCGTTGAGTCCAGGCGAGTTGCGCTGGCCACGATCGCTACGCCGAGCCGAGCTGACGCGCCGAGGCGCCGGCCAGTCGCAGCCGTGAGGCATGCCACAGCAGCAGAGGCACCTGCCACCCATTGGGCGGGCAGACAGAAGGCCAGGGCAGCACTGGCAAGTGCAACGCGCCTCATGTCGGAGAGCGACCGTGCCTCGTTCGCCGCTTTTGATGTAGAGTTTGTTGTAGAGATTTCACGTTGTAGAGCGCCTCTAAATCGCTCTACAACGCAGGCGCTTCGTCCCGCGGCGGATGTAGAGCTCTACAGCTCTACAGCGCTCTACAGCGCTCTACAGCTCTACAGCTCTACAGCGCTCTACACTCTACATCCTCTACACCCTCCCTCAGGCCTGGAGCAGATGACGCAGGCTCCCGGGAGTCGACCAGCGCGGCGGAGGATGCAGTGCTGCCAGATGACGATCCCCCCTCGGAGGGCCGGACTGAGGCGTCGAGGGCCCCGCTCTTTCCTTCGCATAGCGGCCACTCTTCGGATCGCTGGTCGAGCGACCCGGGGGATGCGCCCGCGCGCCTGACCCAGGCGCGAGAAACGAATCTGCGAGGCGCGGCCGCTTATGCGGCCCGATGGGGAGGAGTGGGGCGGACTACGGGGATCGGCTACTTACACCGCCCTTCCCTGCAGCGAGCCCCCTCCAACCCACCCGCGCTAGGTCTCGGGTTTGACGCATGGGGTCACTCCCGCGAAACTCGTGTGTTTTGCGCACATCCCTTCCGCTGCCGCCGCAACAAAGGATATCCCCTCGAGAAAAAGGGTTTAAAGAAACAAAATAAAAGTTTTCAAAAGGGGCGCAAGTTACGCGGCGAGGGAAAAGGGAGCAAAGGGAGAACCTCACCCCCTAAACAAGACAAGGTACCGCCTCGAGCCGCTCGAGGTACCGCAGTTAGTACCGCCCCAAAACAGTGCTGCTTTTCGGCCGAAATGGCCTCTTGACGTCCCGCTCCTCCGGGCTTTCCAGGATGACAGAATTGGCCTTCGCCAGACTGGGGACTATTGTGCGCCTCGGCGAGGCGGTTCCGAACATCCCGGTCGACAGCTGCCGCCCCGCCTGCGGCGTGCCGCCCCGCATGCTGCGGCTCAGCTTCAGGTGAGTTCATCTTGCCGGCGGTACCCGACGCTGCTCGAACGGCAGTTGTCGACCGCCGGCAGTTGACCGGCAAGATGAAGTCCACCACGCTCGCAATCGGGATGTCCGGAACCGCCTTGCCGAGGCGCACAAACAATAGTCCTCAGTCTGGCGAAGGCCAATTCTGTCATTCATTCATCCTGGGCCGCCGCTTACATCTCTCTCTCGACCGGTACCTCGCTTGGGCGGTACCGGGCAAATGCCGGTACCGCGCTCAAAAACCTGCGGTACCCGAGAGTGGTACCTTGTCTTGTTTAGGGGGTCACCCTAAAAACGCGAAAAACAAAAGAAAAACAGAAACAGGGAAGAAGACCTCGTGAGCATCCTACCGGCTAGCACACAATCTACATAGATTGCCGACATGAGCGAGCCAACCGATGGAGAGGCGCTGGAGTGGAACTCACTACGAGACAGCCTGAGCCGCATCCAAGAGGCGACCACCAACCTCGTCGCCGTGTACTCTTCGGCGCCGAGCGAGGAGGCGTGCTGGGCTGGCAAGCAGGCGCCTGCGTGCGATCCGCATGGCCCGGCCACCGCCCCCTGCAGCCGTACCGCCCCATCGCCGCTTGCTGCAGGCGCAATCGGCCTCCAAGTACGCCGCGACGGGATCGGCGCTCAACCTCGTCCTCGCCCTGCTGCTGCTGACGCAGATCGCTTGGCCGCTTGTGCGGGCCAAGACAAACGACGAGGTGGTGCCCGGCGGCGGCGGCGGCGGAGGAGGAGGAGGAGGCGGCGGCGGCGGCGGCGGCGGCGGCGGCGGCTTGCTGCGCCGGCTTCCAAGCCTGATGGCGACCGAGTCCGCTCACGCGCAGCCCTGCATGCACTGCCCGCCATTTTTCACCCGCGTCGTTGGTGCCAAGGCGGGCTTCGTCGCCGGCCTGCTCGCGGCTGGCAAGTCTCCCTCCTCCCTCCTCGCCACGAGCCTGCCTCTGACGCGCCAGGTTAGCTCTTGCGCCGCCCTCTCCGCCCACTCTTGCTTTGAAGAGACTACTTGCTTGGAAGAGACGCCGAGACTCTACGGGTGCTGCCGCGCAGCCAAAAGGCCGGACGACCGACGCCCCAGCCCCTGACTGCCCTGCGATCGCCGCATTAACACCCAGTATTACTTGCCATCGCCGCAGACGGCCTTCGCTTCGACCCACCGCGGAGGTGAGATGACCCGAGATTGCCCGAGATGACCCGAGATTGACCCACCGCGGAGCTCGCGAGAGAGAGAGAGCGCGAGAGAGAGAGGCCGCGCCCGGGGAGGGACACGTCCACGACACGTCCACGACACGTCCACGACACGTCCACGACACGTCCACGCCCGCCCCCCTCGCCCTGCAGGCCTCTCGCTGGCGCACGTGGCACCACCTCGCGGCACCGGCGGCGCGGGGGAGGCTCCTTCTGTCACACTCCCTCCGCCGACCTGGTCGCCGCGCGCCTTTGGCCGCTCGCCTCTCCCCCGCGCCGCGCTACTGCCGTCGAAGGCCGGCGGCGGCGCGGCGCGCCGCGCGCTACTGCCGTGATGCAGCCGGCGAGGGCGCGCTTTGGCCTTTGACGCCACGGCGGGAAGAGGTGTCGCGTCTCGCGTCCTGCTGCTGCATGTGCATGTCCATTGCACCTTTTGCTGCTTGCTCTGCGTGTCGTCGTCGGGGCGTGAGAGCGCGGGTTGATGTGCATTGGTGCCCCCCACGTGCATTGCCCGGGGTCGCCTCTCGCGTAGTGCCCCCGATTGTGGCCCCCCGCCGCCGCGGGTCGACGCGGAGATCCGTGGCACTACGTTTTGCTCGCGGGGAAAGTTGTAGAGATTGGCGGCTTCTTTAGTCTATTCTTATTTTCTGGAGTCCTCTGCGCACTAACACTGGACACTCAAACAGTATCTCTCTCTCAGCGGAGGAGAGAGACACAAAAAACTGGTCGCGGCCCCGAGAGAGGAGATATACGCTCTATATATGCAGATGGATGATGGTTGCGTTGCGCGATGGCACAGAGGCACACGCATCGCGAACGCGATAACACACTCGCGAGACGTGGGTGGGCGACGCTGCACTTCGATGCACTACTACGGTTATTTTCGTTGTCTCGCCCACCCATGTGCGTTGTTATCTAGTCAGTGGGGCCTGTGCCCCCCCCGCCCCACCCGCCGCGGGCCCGCCGCGCCGCCGCCGCGCCGCCGCACGCCGCCGCCCTGAGACCACTCCCTTGTTTTCTGTCATTTAAATCGCCAGCTCGCTCGCGGTCTCCTTGGCACGAGTGCGTGAGAGAGGGGGCGCCCGTCCCCGTGGCCGGTGGCCCATCAAACCGCGGGGTGGGGGGGGGGGGGGTCTGTGTAGGCCGACGATATAAACAATAGAAGGAGGACCGGAGGAATAACTCTGGCCACCACTTGAGACCTCCACTATTCACAACCAGAGCCTCTGGCCAGGCAAAGAAGAGCTAGCTGGGGGTATGAACACAGGGTGTGGTGGGGGTATGAATGCAGGGGGGGGGGGTTGAGGGGAGGCAGGTGCGATAAGTGGAAGAGCACAGGGAGTATGCGGAGAGGCAGCTCCTTCTGGCTGAGGCTGCGTGTAATGAACGTGGGGTGGGGGGGGGGGGGGGGAATTTGCCCCGGGCAACAAAGCGCAGCACCTGCTGGGACGTGCCAGCGCGCGAGGGACGACCGAACATGCAACGCCAACAGTCTCGAGCGCGACAATAGGAATGCCATACACGACCGTGCCGAAGGACACGTGCTTTATGGTGCGAGAGCGGGCGGAGGCGCCAGAGAGCCGCGCTTGACGACGGTGTTTTCGATCTTGTTCCCAAAGAATGGCGCTTTAGTGAGCTAGTCGCCGATGTAGTGCGCGCCGATGCTCACCGGAACAAAGCCACGCGGGTCGGTGTAGGAGGCCGGGCCATTCGGGGTGGAGAGGTCGATGCTGCCAATCTTGCGGACCGCGTCCTGGAAGGGGGCGCTGTGGATGGCCTCTCGGAGTGAGTTGTCCGGAAGGCCAGCCGGCACGCGGTCGAACTTGCCCAACGCCGAGTCCTCGGAGTCGCCTGTCGAAGTCACGACTGGCGCCTTCCTCGAGGGCTCGAGCGATTCGTGAAGCTTGCGCAACCCCGCCAGAATCGAAGCGAACGGCTTGCCGTTGGTCAGCGCGTGTTGGTAGGTGGGTAGCCGCGCGTGAAGCTGAGCATCCAGATCAGTCAGGAGTAGGTCCATAGGGCGCCGGTCCGTCGGAAAGTAGAGCGAGACGAGCTGCCGGTAGGCCTCATAAACGACCGACGGGGGTGTTGGCCGAGGCAGCGCACGGAGCAGGGAGTCTAGCGTCGGCGCCTTGGCTGCAATGGCGCGCGAGCATCGCTGCTCGGCTACTCGGTCGCGCGCCACGGTGGTCCCGCCCACATACTCGGCGCGAGTCTCAACCTCCGCAGAGTAGTTCTGAAAAGAGTTGGTCCTCAGGCAGGCCGGGAAACTCGAGCGGGTAGTCTTCAGCATGCTGAGCACATGCCGAGCGAGCAGGGCGGGATGCCCATCGCTCGCTCGCGGAGTGATGTGACCAGCGGCGGCGGCGAGCGATGCAGCCCCCACGACGGTGCTCCCCATGGGATCGACGCGCGCTGCCGCCGTGAAGACGGGCCCCAAGCAGCGGGTCATGTCAGACAGGGCTGCGAATGGGACGTCGGCCGCAGGGTCGCAGAGAGCCCCGACTGTCGCGTACTGCAAGAAGTCGACGGCCTTTGCTTCTGCAGATGGCACTGGTCCCAAGGGCACGATCGCCTCAGAGTACCCCAAATCGCCCCACTGCAGATAGAGCTCGGGCACCGGGATTTGGCGGGAGTGCAGAGCCTGGACGCACACCGTACGGAACGTATCCTCATCCACGTGCACCGTGCCGAACACGCCGAGGTCGGACAAGGCACCGAGGATGCGGCGCCAAGCCGCGGCCAATACGGCCAGCCGCAAGACGCTGAGCCTGTCAAAGTAGGTGGCCACAGCGGGCTCGGGCTCACTGAACGGGAGAAGCGCACTGATGGCGACCCACTGCGGAATCTGGACCCACGACGGTTGCATCCCTGGAGGAGGAGGGGGCAGATTGAGGAAGGCCGGATTGCCCACCACAGACCACGGAATGAAGCGCAGGGTAGAGCCTACCACTGTTGAGTCGACGGGTATCACCAGTGGCTTTGCGGGATCGGGGTGCTGCTCGGCCGGAATGCTGAGCTCGGCGGCAGTGAGGTCTGGCATCGCAGCGCCGGTCGTCTCGTCGAGGGCTACCTCTCGACTCTACTCCCGTGTCACAACGAAGCACGAGAGCGTGCACGACAGAGCGACGGCGCAGCGTACTGCCGTCCAGCTAAAAAGCGGCGGCCGACGGTTGCTGCGCAAAGTGATCAGTTCTAATGAATGTACCGGGGCCCTATGGATAGATGAATCCGGGGCACCCTCCGCTCGAATCCCTGGCCAGGGGTTCGAGGCGGCCCCCACCCTGGGGCCTCCCATCAAAGGGACTGCTGCAGAAGACGCCCAATCTTGCACACGTGCAAGAACCATACTAGGCTGCGAGCACTTGGAACAAATTAAATTCTTTTCTCTGCACCTCAAATTCTTCTCTCGCTGTGCCTTTTGTGGTGCTAGTTCGTGCCAGTCTGCTGTGAGAGGGGCTTCCGCGGTAGAATTCTTCTCTCCCCTGCCTCGCGCTTGGCTAAACGCCGCCGCCGCCGCCACTCCGAACGCGCAGCCTGCCAGCGATGGCGGACGAGGACGGCGGTGATGGTGGCGCCTTCGACGACGGCGACGACAACGCGTGCGCTTTACTCGCCTCGCGCACGCGCTCCTGCCTCCTCCTTCGCCGCAGCTCCGCCCGCTCCGCCACCGCACTCTGCGCGGCGCTCTCTCACCGCGTTCTCGCCGCCCCGCCGGCAGCGATTTTGAGGGAGATGACGAGATCATGGAGGAGGAGGACATGGAGGGCGAGGGCGAGGAGGAGGACGGTGACGGACTCGTCAACGGTGAGAAGGCCCGACGCCCGCGGGTCCTCCGCCGCCGCTCCCCGAAGCGTGCCGGGTTCGTGCGTCGCAGGGGAGGGGCGCGACGACGGGATCGTCGAGATCGACGCGCCCGACGGCGGCGGCAGCGGCGAGGCGGTTCCGCCCGCCGAGCGGATCACGACTCCGTACATGACTCGGTTCGAGAGGGCGAGAGTGCTCGGCACGCGCGCGCTGCAGATCAGCATGAACGCGCCGGTGATGGTGGAGCTGGAGGGGGAGACGGACCCGCTCAAGATCGCGATGAAGGAGCTCAACCAGCGAAAGGCGCCCATCCCCTCCCGCTTCCCCGGCGGGTCGAGGAGCCTTCCAGGAGCCTTCCAGGAGCCGTCTCGGAGGGTTCCTTGTAGGTGCCGATCACTGTCCGCCGCTTCCTGCCCGACGGGTCGCACGAGGACTGGAACGTGGACGAGCTCATCATCCCGGAGGAGGGCTCTAGCCGAGATGTCGCCGAGATTAGCCGAGGCTGTGCTGCACTAGAACGGCGAACTGCACACTCGCGTGCGAGCTGCGCCACTGCCCAGGAAAGACAGCCGAGTCTCCGGCGCTCGGCTGCGCCCCTGTAGTTCGGCCGCACCTCGGCCATACTTCAGCTGCATTTCGGCTGCACTTCGGCCGCACCTCGGCCATACTTCAGCTGCACCTCGGCTGCAGCTCGGCCGCACCTCGGCTGCACCTCGCATGTCCCTCGGCTGCAGGAGATGCAGCTGCTCTCGCGCGACTACGAGATCGACGCCACCGCGCGCTCCGCCCCAACCTTCCGCGCGGGCTAGAGAGGGGGGCGCAGGCTTGCGGCCACTGGCGCAGCGCGGCGGGGCCGGCTCACGCTCAATTGACAGTTGTCGTTTATGGTTTCACCCCCTGTTTTTACCAACAACCAAGTTTTGGTACTTTCATCGCTGTCATTCTAGCGTTACACTTTGCAGCAAGAAGTTGCAAAAGAAGAATTTCTCGCGCGTGTGATTCTTTTTCTTATTGATTCCGATGTAAGTGTCGTCGAGCGAGAGCGATTTCACACATCACAGCATCAGCAGGGGCGGTCGCCCGCCGCCGCCCCGCCCCGCCCCACCCCGTCCCGACCAATGAGGTACTCGTGGTCTGTTGCCGTCCCAAAGTGTCCCTCCTCTCTCTCGCTCCCGGCCGGGGCGGGGCGCGCGCACGGGCGGCGGGTGTGCGGAATGTGTGGGCCCCGACCTCGCGGAGCTCCCCCCATATTTTGGACGCAATCAAAATATCGTCCAAATACTCCTCGGAGACGGACGCTTGTGCACACATCGCAGGTTCGTGCAGTGATGTCGCTGGCGCTCACCGTCGGCGTACACGCGACGTCCCCGGTGTGCAAGCCATTCTGTGAGGACAAGACGCAGGCCTGGGATGACAAGTGCACCTGTCACCCTGGGGGGCTGCAACGGCTGCACCGAGTGCTCTGCGCCGGTGTGCAAGCCGTTTTGTGAGGACAAGACGCAGGCCTGGGAGGACAAGTGCACCTGGGGGACTGCAACGGCTGCACCGAGTGCCTGACCTCGTCGCCGTCGGCGCCGCCCCCCATAGCGCCGCCTCCGACCGACCCGACCTCACCGTCGATGCCGCCCCCCCCGCCGCCGCCTCCGACGCCACCACCGCCGTCGCCCCCAACGGTGTGCAAGCCGTTTTGTGAGGACAAGACGCAGGCCTGGGATGTGACAAGTGCACCTGGGGGGGCTGCAACGGCTGCACCGAGTGCTCTCCGATTGATTGGGCTACCTTCTTCGAGAGCAAGGCGGGCAATACCCGCCAAGAACTGGAGAACATGGCGTCCATAAACCTTGCGGGTAAGAATCTTACAGATGAGGATTGCAGACCAGTAGCTGAAATCATCAAGTCCAGCAGTGTGTTGGAAACCCTCTACATCGGCATTACTCCTTACACGATCCCGATCGGCGAGAGCTCCATCAGTGCCGAGGGCGCCAAGGCGATCGGCAAGGCACTCGCGGTCAACGAGGTGCTAAAATATCTTAACCTCGACGGCAACGAGATCGGCTACGAGGGCGCCAAGGCACTGGCTTCCGCTCTGCGCGTCAACGGGGTGCTGACGCGAGCTTAACCTCGCCCGCAACGGCATCGACGACGCGGGCGCCGTGGCACTGGCCTCCGCTCTGCCCGTCAACGGGGTGCTGAAAACCCTCGACCTCTACCACAACAACATCCGCGCCGAGGGCGCCACTGCGATCGCCGAGGCGCTGAGCGACAATGGGGCGCTAACCAGCCTCATACTTCAGGGCAACAACATCCGCAACGAGGGCGCCGTTGCGCTTGCATCCGCTCTGCGCGTCAACGTGGTGCTGAAAGCACTACGGATCCCAGGCAACGACATCGGCGACGAGGGTGCCGAAGCGATCGCCGACGCCCTTAGCGTCAACCAGGTATTGACCACGCTCAACCTCCGCTGCAACGACATCGGTCCCGCGGGCGGCATCGCCATCGGCAAGGCGCTGGAGGTCAACGAGGCGCTGTCACCCTCGACCTCTCCAGCAACAACATCCACGGCGAGGGCGCCACCAACGGATCCACCGCGCTCGCCGTGGCCTCCGCTCTGCGCGTCAACAAGGTGTTGAAAGCCCTCTACATCGGCGGCAAGTATTTGGACGACGAGGGCGCGAAAGCGATTCGAGATGCGGTTAGCGGGCGGGAAGGGTTCGAGCTCTACATGAAGGTGAGGGGGCTCTGACCGAGGAGTCTAGAGTGACACCCAGCGAGGGTCAGACCTCTCGATGATGGACGAGCCATGGCGCCAGCCAGAGGCGTCAGGCGAGTTCTCACACCATCCCAATTTCTATCCCCAATAATTATTCGCGCGTGCCAAGCACGTGCACGACTTCGTTTCGCAGGGCCAGGGGGGAATTTTGTGTGAGGATTTTTTTGAATACAGGTGGTTGCATGCAAGCACACCACACGTGGGTACAGTACCCCGGCGGCACGCGCGGCCCCTGCATGGTTTGTCCCCACATGGACATGCGGCTCCTAGAGTGCGGCTCCCTCTGAGAGCGGCCTCTGGTCCTCTCTGTGGCACCACCGCGCACTCCGAGACTCAGGCTGGAGCAGCCCTGGGTGCGACCCGGCCGCCACACACGCCCGCGTGGCCATTGCCCTCGCTGCCTGCGCCGCGTATGCAGTGCAAAGCAAAGGTAGACGCTCCACAGCTCACTCCGCTTCGCCGGCCGCCTGCGCGCCTCCCTCGCCCGCCGCCCCGCCCTCCTCCTCCTCCTCCTCGTCGTCGTCCTCGAGCACCCTCCTATGGCACATGGGCCGGGGTGCGTGTCACCCAGTGAGGCCGCTGGCGGCGATTCCACCTCCGCTCTCCTCCGCTTGCGTGGCGCCGCCGTGTCGCCGCCGCCCGACCCGCCCGCCGCCGCGCCGTCGCCTCCCGACCCCGGCGCCGCGTCGTCGTCGTCGTCGCCCCCGAACAAATCCGCGTCGCGCATTGGCGCGCCGCCCTCCGCGCCGCCCTCGCCGCCCTCGCCGGCATCGGACGCCTTTTTGAGGCGACCGCCCGGCGCCGCGGCGGGCGGCCCCCCCTCCGCCTCTCCGGTGGGCGCCTCTGGCTCCGCGTCGGACGCGTCGGAGCCAAACAAGTCGTCGTCGTTGGCGGGAGCCTCCTCTTCCTCTGGAGGCGCCGGCGCCGGCGCGCCGTCCTCGCTGTCGCTGTCGCTGCCGCCTTCGCCGTTTGGCCCCGCGAGGCGCTTCCGCTTGCGATCCTTTGCACGTGCCGCCGCCTCCGCCGCCTGCGCCTCCTCCTCCCGCCACTTGGTCTGCTTGGCCTCGAGTCGAGCCTTGTTTTCGCGAATCAGCGCCGCCACCCGCTCCTCCTCGGCCCGCCTCGCCTCCTCCGCCTCCTCCTCACGCTGCCGCTTCTCCGCCGCGATGGCCGCGATCCGCTCGTCAGCCTCGCGCTGCTGCTCCGCCTGCTCTGCGGCGCGGCGCGTCGCCAGCGCCGCCTCCTCCTCGAGCGCCGCCGCCAGCTTCTGCACCTTGCTGCCCAGCGACTCGGTCCGCGCACTGGAGAGACCCGCCGCAGCGGCGGCGACGCGGTGCGGCTCTGCAGCCTCTTCGATGGAGCGCAGCAGCTGCGCGGCGAGCGACACGTCCGCCTGCGCGCGCTGGACTGTGGGGAGCGGGCGCGGCCCGGTCTCGTTGCGCGCCGGCTTCGCGCCGCGATGGAGCACGACGCACAAGTTGTACACCGTCGTGAGGTCGGTCGGCCGCTGCCTCAGGGCGCGCGATAGCACGCGCCGCGCCTCGGGGAGAGAGCCCGCGTCGAAGTGCGCGCGCGCCTCGAGGGCGAGCAGCGACGCGGGCGGCGCCCCCTTGGCGCGCCGCTGCGCCTTTTGGTAGAGTCCGACGGCGGCGAGGGGCTCGCGCTGCAGCGCGTGCAGCTGGCCGAGGTTGGCGAGGGCCATGTCCGCCCCCTCGACGGACGCGTCGCGCACCGAGGTGAAGATGGACCTCGCCTCGGCAAACCGCCCCTTCTTGGCGCAGACCACGCCGAGACCGTTCGCGGCGAAGACGTTGTTTGGCTCCTGCAGCAGCACCGCGCGGTACAGCTCGGTCGCCTTGTCGAGCAGCGCGTTCTCCTGCCGCGACGAGTGCTTCTCGCGCGCAGAGAGCTCGAGCTGGATGTTTGCAAGCGAGAGCATCGCGTACGAGTCTTTGCGGCAACCCTCGCACTTTTCGAGCACCGCCTTGAAGCACGCGTCGGCTCGCATCCAGTCCCGCTGCTCCATGTGCACCCTCCCGAGCGCGCACCACAGGTCGGCATTCACCGGGTCCACCTCGAGCCCCTTCTTGAGCCACGCGAGCGCGCCCGAAGGTCGCCCGACCGCCTGCTCGCACGCGCCGAGCCGGAGAAAGCAGTCGACGTAGTTGGGGTGCTCCTGCAGCAGCTCGACATACTTGGCCGTCGCCTGCTCCAGCCGGCCCTGCTGCTCCCACAGCCTCGCCGTGTTGTACCCGACCGTCACGCGCTGCATCTCCGCGAGCTGCGACGCACCCTCGCCGCCGCACAAGCGCGCCGCCGCCGAGTACGCGGCCTCTGCGCTGTCCAGCTTGCCAAGCCGCTGCCGCAGCACGCCGAGGTTGTTCCACAGCTCGACCGGCACCAGCTTCTGCGCGCGCTTGAGCAGCGCGGCCGCCTTCTCGTACGCCTTGAGCGCGACGCTGAGGGAGGAGGCGCTCTCGTGCACCTTTGCGAGAGGTGGCCGAGAGGTGGCCGAGAGGTGGCCGAGAGGTGGCCGAGAGGTGGCCGAGAGGTGGCCGAAAGATGGCCGAGAGAGATAGGAGGGCGCTCTCGTGCACCTTTGCGAGCTCGAGCCACGCCACCACGTCCAGCGGCGCCAGCTCAGTCGCGCGCGTGAGCCGCTGCGTCGCAAGCTCGTCCCGCCGCGGCTTGATGCGCGTGTAGAGCATGCCTGCCAGCTTGAGCGCGTCGACGTTGTCTGGCGAAGAAGCGAGCACCTTTGGGGAAGCAGTCGTTAATTCATTCCCAGTATCTCTGATTGTTATTCATCCTAAGGAAGCGAGCACCTTCTCGAAGCAGTCGAGGGCGGCGCGCTCGTCGTTGTTGACGAGGTGCATCTGGCCGAGCCCGTAGTAGGGCGGCAGCAGCGACGGCGCCAGCTTTGTCGCCTGCATGTACCACTGCAGCGCCGACGAGAAGTCCGACTTTGCGTGGAAGACGCGCCTGCGCTCGGCCACTCTCGGCTCATCTCGGGCACTCCTCCGGGAGTGCGACGGGTGTGGCGGAGGCGCGCCCCATGCTGTAGCAAGCCTCAGCCTTGAGCCCGTCCGACGCCGACTGCTCCGCCGCCGCGTAGCCCCGCTTGGCGAGCGCGGTCGCCTTGTCGTACTCGCCGCGCAAGAAGAAGTGCGACGAGAGCTGCAGCAGGACGGACGGGTGGGACGGCTCAAGCTTGTACGCGGCGGTGAGGCGCTCGAGCGCCTCGGGCACGCGCTGCTCGTTCTCGTCGAGAAGCGCCAGCCCCGCCAGCGCCTCGACGCTGTCTGGCTGCAGCGCGAGGGTCCGCTCGAGCGCCTTGCGCGCCAGGGAGACGTTGCCCAGCTTCGCTGCCGAGTACGCCAGCCCGAGCCGCACGGCTGGCGGCGGCGACGGGTTGGTCATGAAGACCTCGCGGTAGAGGGACTGCGCCTGCGGGGGACAGGACTCGGACATGTGACGGACGCGTCTCGGACGTGCCCGGAGGACCTCGCGGCAGAGGGGTAGCGCCTCCGAGTAGCTGCCTGCCTGGAACTTTGCGCAGGCGCGGCCGAGCAAGACGGGGGCAGCGAGCTTGTTCGAGCCGCGGCAATAGGCGGAGGCGGACTCGAGCTTGCTGCTCGCCGACTCGAGCTTGCCCTGCTGCAGCAGCAGCACCGCCTCGCCGACCAAGGTGCCCGAGTTGAGCAGGTCGATCTGCTGCGCCGTCTCAAAGTACTTTTTGGCGCGCTCGAACTCGACGGCACGCCGCTTGCTGTCCCGCGCGCGGCTCGCCAGCGCGACGTGGCAGGAGGCGAGGGCGTTGACGACCGCCACAAACTGGACCTTGATCTCGTCCTGAGCGCCAAACTGCTCGTAGAGCATGTTTTCGTAGTCGCGCGGGTTGTTTGGCGGGGTGGAGTAGAGTTCGATGAGAGGGCGGAGCAGCGACTCGAAGTGCTCCGCCTGTCCGGTGGGGGGGTAGGGTGAGGGGGCGGGGGGGGCGGTGTGTGTGTGTGTGTGTGTGTGTGTGGGCGGCGGTGGTGGGGGGGTGGGGGTGGGTCGGGTGCGAACGCCTTGCCCTGGTTGTAGTACTCGACGGCAAAGCGGAGCCAGAGGTCGAGCGGTGCCATCTCGGCCTGCGGCGGGGAGAGGGGGCAGACGAGCGTCGCAGCGTGAGAAAGGGGCGGCAGCTGAGAGCGGGGCAGCAGAGAGCGCGCTGGGCGGGAGCTGGCAGCGGTTGCAAAGTGGCGTCGCGAGAGGAAGGTGCGGCGAAGACGAGGCAGTCTCCCAGCGGCGCGGCGGGGCGCGGGCGGCGCGGGCGGCGGCGGCGATCAGCGGTGATGGTCCAGAGTGCGTGGGAGCGGCGTAAAAGGCGGGTTGGGAAGGCGGGCCTGCAGAATGTCGGAGAGGTCGTCAATGTTCTCCGGAAGGCTGTCGACGTGCACCTCCACCGACTCCTCCGAACCTTGGACCGGGATGTAGATGGACATGACGACAGACGCGCCTGACCGCCAGCCTGGATCAGCGCCGAGGCTGCCGGCCCAACGCAGCGCCAAAAGAATTCTTACATACAAGCCTCTCTCACAGCACACTGGCACGACAAGGGCGCAGACTGGCGCGGACTGGCACACACACAGGCTCACCACCGGAGCCGCCTAAGCGACTCCGTTAAGAACGGCAATGCACTCCGCACCATGCACAATGCCGCTCTCCCCGCACGCTAGCTCGTTCACCGTCTGCCACGCCACGGCGGTGTGGAGGACGACAGACAAGCGCTGCATCTGCAGCCCGTGCCAGTTCTTGGTGGTCCATGTGACCTCGTCCAGGTGCTGAGCGTGCGAAAGTTTATTGCTCAGCTGGTTCGCCGCCTCCTCCCCACCCCCATCAGCATCACGGCTGGAGCCGTACCACCCAGCGCGCACACGGAAGGAGGACTGAGCCTCAACCCTGTCCGCCCTCACCGCCCGCGAATTTTGAACTGCCAAGCGCCTCGCACAGCAGAGGGTTGTCTCCCTTGGGTTGTCTGTCTGTTTTCTTTCTTTCTTTAGCAGAGGGTTGTCTGTTTTCTTTCGTTCTTTTTCGCACAGCAGACTGGCTCGGACTGGGTGGCACTACAAATGGCACGGCAGGCGACGGCCCCTTATGGGCCGTCGAAGAGGCCGGCGTACTCCTCCGGCCGACCCCCCTCCCAATCCTCCCCGGGCTCTGGCTCCTCCTCCTTCGCTAGCGCCCTCGCCCCCCGCCGGCGGCGATTCCGTGCCCCCTCCCCGCCCCATCCCTGGTGTGGACGGTTTTTTTCGCGGTATCCGCGGCGGGATACGGGCAGATACGGGCGGATACGGGCAGATACGGGGAGATACGGGGAGATGCGATGAGATGCAAGGAGATACGGGGAGATACGGTCAGATATTGCAGAGATACATCATCATCAAGCTACCGCAAAAAAACCGTCCGCACTATCGCCCCCCGCACAGCCGGAACGGTGCCACCCCGCGCGCACGAGGAACGAGGCCTGAGCCTCACCCTCGTCCGCCCTCACCGCCCTCACGGCGGCGTCGCAAGCCTCAGCCCGCGAAGCGCCAGCAGCATGCGCCGCGGCGTACGCCGCGTCGGCCGTCGCCTACCAACTGCCTAAAAAAGAATGAGGCCGACCGAGCGTGTGCGGAGCTCCGGCGGGGAACTGCGAGCGCCGGCGCGCTGTGTGGAGCGCCGCAGCGCCGAGAGACGATGGACCGGTGAGTACATTACTGTGAGGCCCCGGGGCGCGCCGTGGTCCGTGGATCGCACCGCGCGCCATGCATGTGTGGTTAGCAAGTTTTGGGTCCTCATGCATGTAAACAGCCGCATCGCACATCGCGCTGATCAACCTGCGGGCCAGGTCCTTTATGACCGTCCACTCGCGACATGGTTGGACAAAAAGAATCCTAAATCGAAAAAGAAAGCACACGGAAGAGAGGCTGGACAAGGTCAATCCTGAGACGCTCTCACTCGGCGGCTCCCTCTTCCGCGCTCCAGCGCCAACATGCAGGCCTCTGGTGAGTCCTCGGCCTCGAGCGCACCTGCATCCTCTCGCGTCGGTGCAAAACACGCGTTCTCCGGCGGCGGCGCGGCGACGCGAGCTCGGCTTGCACGGTTGCCCGCCATGGCGCTGGCAAACTCGCTCGCTCTTGCGCTGTTGGCGGCGGTTTGCTCTTCCTCGGCGCCACGCCTCGTCCCGCTCGCGCTCCTCCTGCTGGCGGGTCGCTGCGAGGCCGCGGGCACGGTCTGCGACAACAGCGTGCCATGCTCCTCCGGCTGCCCCACCTTCGTGTACGGCACTTCGCTGTGCGACGGCACCTTCACGGGCACCGAGGTGTATCTGTACAACCGAGGGCTGTCGGGGACGATCCCTCCGCAGCTGGGCGACATCTCGCAGCTGAAGTATCTTTACCTGTACAGCAACTCCATCTCGGGCACCATCCCTCCGCAGACGAGCAAGCTCTCGCAGCTGGAGTATCTTGGCCTGTTCGACAACGACATCTCCGGCACCGTGCCGTCGCAGCTCAACAACCTGCCGCTGACGTCCTGCGGGCTGGGCGGCACCAACCACTTTGCCTGCCCCCTGCCCGCCCTTCCCGCTGTCTGCACCTCGGCCTTCCTACCAGAGTGCAACTACCCGCCACCTTCGCCGCCCTCGTTCTCACCTCCCTTGGCGCCCTTACCTCCCTCGGCGCCTCCCCATCCGCCTGGCAAGGCCCTCCCGCCGGACCTCTCAATCGTCAATGGCGATGACCAGAGGCTACACCGGCAAGCATCCGGCACTCATTCAGAGCGCGAGACGGCATCGACTCGTGCCCGTGCTGCGTCCTGGCGGGCCTCTTTGGGTACAAACAGCTCACAGTGCGACGACTCGGGCTGCGCTGGAAGGATTCGTCATCCCCCACCCGCATCATTTTGGAGCAAGGGAGGCGCAGTCATGCTCTGCCCTTTGAGAAAATTAGGCTACATTCACATCTTCAAAAGCGGAGGAACCACAATCATGTCGCTTTTTCGCGATGCGTGTCCCGGTGCGATCTACATCCGCAGCTGGGCAGGTGCGTGTGATTTTCCTCCATGTGGAAGCTGGAAGCATGCGGCAGCCAATCGCGCGCGCCATGACAACTACGCCTTCTTCACCTTTGTCCGTGACCCGGTAGAGCGCTTTGCTTCAGCCGTTTACGAGGTGAGCCGCAGAGGGTTCTCCTCGGCCTGGCGCAAGTGCAGGCCGAAGCTCGCAGGGAAGACTGATGGCGAAGATGGTCGCCTCGCTCTGTCAGTCTTGGAGCATTGCGTTGTGCAGCCTTCTATGAGATTGCCAAGAAGGGTAGACCCGCATTTTGAGCCTCAGATCAACTTTATGCTCGATGACGTTAGGGTGTTGAACCAGCTGAAATTCGTTGGGCGGGTCGAAAACCTATCGGAGGACCTGCGGGCAATTCTGCAGTCGCACTCCCTCAATGTCAATGAGGCGCAACTTGCGCAGACGCACTTGCGGCGAAGCGGTGACGCCGGTTTCCACCGCCCTGGTCAAGAGAGAGGAAAGGGGATCCTGCTCAACGTGTCAGGGTTCACAGATGACAATCGCCGTACAATCCTGCGCGCCTACTCCACTGACGTGAGAAGTCATGTGTGAGCTCTCAACAAAGTATGTCAGACGCCGTATTAGCGGTGCCAAAGTCCAGTCGGTGGCCTGACTGACAGCCTCATATTGTGTTTGATGTCTATATGTGTGGTAAAGGAAAAGGTGCGTCGTAGTTCTGACATTCCTCATCTATGTAGTGCCCTAGCTCTTCCCGGGCACGCCCGTCTAAGGTTTAGAACGGCATTCTGCACGATCCGCTCGCTATATGGGTGAACAATGGGGCCTCTCTTTGCCGGAAGAGGGGGTATGATAGCTGAAGGGGTTTCCGTGCCCGTATTCTAGTTTTTATATCCTCTCCCAAACCCAATCCCATACCATACCATATGGGGCAAATTGAATTATTCAATTTGCGCCGGGCGGGCAAACATAAAGTATGTGATTTCGTCAACAAACTGCGCGCGCACCATTGTCCATTCATTCACAAAAAACTCAATACACCATTACGCACCACGGGAGATACCGCCAAAAGAATTCAGGAGGCGGACATGTCTCAGCACACTGGCACGACAAGGGCGCGGACTGGCGCGGACTGGCACACACACCGGCTCACGGCCAAAAGAAGAATTTTAGCAACCTCGCAGAATACGTCAATGAGTTTACGAAAGTGTTCTAAGAGACTACTTCAGTAGAGGTGCATGAATGAGATTTCAGTACCTGAGGGGCTGACGCTCAAGCCTCGCAGGACGTCTTGTGCGGGGCGACGCGACAGCCCTCCCTATATCAGTGACAGGGGCGCTGGCGTGGCGCGGGGCGTGCGTCGCGGGCTCGGGCTGGCGGGGCGCTGGTGCGGCGAAGCACGCGGGCCAGTTGGCGCGGGCTGAGCATTGGGCTCAACAAGGTTTGCCTCTCGCACCCCGTCTGTTTTCCTTTCCTTTTTTCTCTACAACACCCTCTCTTTTCCTCTCTATTTTCCGGGGAAACTCCGTATTTTGTCGATTTCCTCAATTTTGCCTCAGATTTTGCCCCAGACTGCGGCCCAGACCAGCTCTCAGACTCAGGGAAACTCGCGAGTTTCCAGAATGGAGCACCAAACACCCTCTGTTTTCCCTAAGTGGAAATTTCCGGAAACGCAAAGTGCTGGGGACCCTCTGTTTTCCTTTTTGTTTTCCGGAAAACCTTGTTGAGCTCAAGCTGAGCAATTGGCAGGCTGTCGTGGCACGCGCAAAGTCTGGGAGCGAGGCTGCAAGGCGGCGTGCGCTGATGGAGAAGGAAGGCGGCGGCGTTCGAGCGCGGGGCTTGGGCGGCGGGCGGCGAGGCGGGCGTGGAGGCGAGCGGCCAGGCCGGCGAGGCGTGCAGGTGGCGTGCGGCGTGGGAGCGGGGCCGGGCTGGCGCGAGCCGGACGGTATTTGCGTTCTTGCTTTCTTTGAGCGTTTCGCGATATGCGCACTATGCGCAAAAGGTCAACAGTCCCGGAAACTACTTGGACCTCCGCCTCACGTCCGCGCTGCTGCCACGTCGCCGGCCCCCTTCCCCGGCCCCCTTCCCCGCGCCGAGCCGCCCGCCGCGGGCCGCGCTCACGTGCGCTTCGGCCGCGAGCGCACCAGGCCAGCACAGCCATGGGCTGCGTCGAGAGCAAGGCGACGGAGGTCTCAGTGGAGCCCACCCCCACGCCCCCGCCGCCCAAATCGGAGGCATCGCCGCCGCCCCGAGGTGTCTGAAAACGCCGTCCCAACCGCGTCCCTACCTGAATGCCGCCCAGAGAAGGATGCTGCTCCCGGTGCTCCCACTGCACAAACTCCTATTACCTGCTCGGAGATCGTCTGCAATGCTCTCGCCGAGGCTGGCGTGAGCCACGTCTATGGCGGTCACGGTGGCGCCGTAGTGCCACTAGTCAATGCCGTCTGCAGCCACAAGAGCCTCACCTGGGTGTGCACCCGCAACGAGGCCAACGCATCGCTCATGGCCGCCGCGGCGGGAAAGCTGAGCAACGGCAAGGCGCTCGGCTGCTGTCTCTCTACGTCGGGCCCCGCAGTCTCCAATCTGGTCACGGGCCTCCTCGATGCGCAGCTGGACCGAGTGCCTGTCATCGCCCTCACCGGCTGCAAGCCCCGCAGTGATCAGGGCCACTCCGAGTTCCAGGACATTGACCAGGCACGGCTACTCGCGGCGGGAGGCCTCGCCTATTCGATCACGATCGCCGACCCAACGCAACTTCTCTCGGTAATCCGTGATGCCATCGCCATCGCCTTCACGAAGCGCGCCGCCGTGCACATCGCCATCCCCGTCGACATCCAGGTCGCTACCGTGGCGTCGCCGCCGGCGCGCGTCCTCTCATGCAGCCCTGAGACCCTCCTGCAGCGCGTCAAGGCTGGACCGCCCTCGGACGCGTCGCTCCAACGGCTGGCGGCGCTGCTCACCGCAGAGGGCGAGCGCATCTGCTTCGCAATCGGCTGCGAGGCGCGCGATGCCGGTCCTGAAATCCTCGCGCTCGCACACCGGCTCAACGCGCCCATCGTCACACGCAGTCTGAGCGCCGTCGACGAGGACGATTACCACGCTATGGGTGTCATCGGCGTGCACGGCAAGCCGGGTATGAGGGGCACGGCCGCCGTGCTTGAGAAGACGACGCTCGTCGTAGCCTTCGCCGTCAGCGAGCTCTCGGTGCTCCTGTGCAATTTGCATGGCCTGCAGGTGCGCAAGCTCGTCGAGGTGACCACCGACTCCTTTGGCCTGGCCATGCATTTCGAGGCGGAGCTCTCAGTGACCGCAGACGTGGCCACCGTGTGCAAGCGCCTCGTTAGTTCCTGCCCAAGAGCCTTGCGGAGCTCTCAAGTTCTGCCATGCACGCAGCCACTGTTGTGTGTGGTGGGCGATATGTGTGGTGGGCGTCAATCGAGCGTGCCGAGGCGATGGCTCTCGAGACGAACGCCAATCGCGTGATCAAGGCTCTCCGCGCACGAGTTGCACGCAAGGCTGGTCTCTCTACAGACGTGGCTGCGCCGCGCCAACCGGCGCCGACGCTCAGAGCGCCCACCGCGATGCTCAAGACCGTCGCGCGTTCGAGCTACTGCCACCAGGCGCAACTGCTCGCTCGGCTCGGCCCGCGGCTGGGCGCCAACGATGTCGTGTGCGTCGACACGGGCGACATCACGCTGTGGACGTCGCTCTCCTTGCGGCTGCGTCGCGGCTCAGTCGTGCTCTCCTCGGAGCGTCTCGGCACGATGGGCTACGCACTCTGTGCCGGCATCGTCGCCTCGGCGCAACGCGGCCCCAGCGCAACGGGCATCGTCATCGCCGGCGACGGTGGCTTCCAGATGACGCTCAATGAGCTCGGAACGGCCATCCAGATGAACTCGCGCCTGGTGATCATCGTCATCGACAACAAGGTCCTCGGCCGGGTTGAGTTCGGCTTCAACAACGCCCAGGGCTGCGCCCTTGCCGGTCCCGACTATCTTGCCCTCGCGCGTGCCTACGGTGCCGACGGCATTCAGCTCACCGACGATTCGCAGATCGACGCAGCGCTCGACGCAGCCTTCGCGGCGAGCGGCGTCTTCATGCTCCACGTCGTCTCGGACCCAGATGTGAAGGCGGAGATGGCGACGTACAAGCCACGGGGCATCGTCAAGGTCGACTCTGCGTGAGGCAACGTGCGAGACAAGTGACGGTTCGGGCGAGGCGAATGACGGTGCAGGCAAGAGACCTGAGCTGAATCGTGTCGACACGGCCTCGTTTGAATCGTGACACTGAGCTTGAATCGTGTCGAGAGCAGCCAGTGCGAGCCGGCGCGCTGGCTTGCGCGTGCGCACCCCGGCGCTCCGGCCGCGCCCCGCACCCCCGCCGGCGGGAGCGCCGGAGCGCCGCGGCGCCGTCGAGCGTGCACCGCCTGCTCAGCCCCCCGCCCCTCCGCCCAGCCTTCGTGGGGGCTGCGCCATGCACGCGGTCCGTCGAATGGAGAGACTCCAGGTATCAAAACTCCGTCGGCAGGGAGTGTCTGAGAAAGTTTTGCAGAGAGCCACAGGGGGAAAAGAGACACAAAACGATCACGGAATAGACAGCGGGGTGAAGGCGAGCTGTGGCAGCTCGCATCTCACGAACATCAACACGAGGTCGGTGAAGGAGCGATATCAGCGATTGCATCTGGGGCGATCCTCGGCGGCACCGCCCCGCCCAGGCAGCGCTGGGTTGGGGGGCGGCCGCGTCATGTCAGACCGGTGCGTTCGGCGGAGTCTAGGGTAGAGGAGTCGGTCGGGCGCGCGGTGCCGCCTCTGCCTGGCGGGAAGTGTCTCCTTGCTCGCAGGCGAGAGGCGGAACGGCGCGGCGCTTACTGTCACCCGCCCTTCTTGCGGCGACAGATGCCGGCCGAGGAGGAGCTGGAGGCATGGCCCTGCAGCGGGTTGTGCTCCGATGGGCCCTTACCGCGCTCAATCTTTGCGAGGCGCGCAGTCACGCTCTGCTTGTCGGCGGGCAGTTTTGCGGGCGCCTTGCCCGACGCCGGAGCCTCACTCGACGCCGGCGCCTTGCCTGACGCCGGAGCCTTGGCGAGGGCGCTCGTCAGCCGGTCCGGGAGGCTGCTGTCGCTGCAACCGCCGCCGTCGCAGCAAGCGGGAGACGGCGCCGACGCAGCACGCTCCTCCGCGGCGCGCGCCATCCGCTCCTGCTGCACCTGCCTCGCCCGCAGCAGCGCGTCCTCCTTCGCAGCAGCGCCGCCGAGCGTCGAGCCGGAGCGGGAGTGCTGGAGCAGCTGCGCGAGTTGCCACGCGGCGAAGAGAAGGGCGCACGCGAGGGAGATCGGGTATGCTCCGGCAAACTCCGCAGCGCTAGCAAGCATCCCTTCCGCGCCCACCTCAGGTTCCGGCTCGGCGCCAAGGCCGGGCTCAGACTCCATTGGGTATGGGCAAGCCGCAAGGTAGGAAGGGGCAACCGAGTGTGGGCGCCGGAACGGCGGAGAAACCTTCCCGGCTTCTGCGCCGGCCGGCCGGCACCGGCGCACTTTTGCGCCGGCGCCGGCGCACTCTGCGCCGGCGGCGCACTTTTTAACGGCGCACTCTGCGCCGCACCACATAGGGGCTGGCACACCACACACGGACCTAGCACACCGCTACCGTGTGAAAGTGTGACACCCCCAAACCGTAAAAAGCACGAGAAATATACGTACTGGCTGGTGGATCACCATGGAGCGATCATGCACATGCGATATATGCCTTATGCGGGTCATGGACGATGGACGGCGAGAGCTCGCTCTCGTCTCTCACGGAAACACAGGGACGTACACACTAGCGTCGTGGTACACCCCTCACTTAGACAGCGGTGCCGCGGTGGAGGCACCGCGGGCCTCTCCGTCCGCCCCTTGGGCGGGAGGCGGCGGCGGCTGCTGCGGCGTCGGCGGCGTCGGCGGCGGCGGCGGCGGCGGCGGCGGCGGCGACGGCGGCGGCGGCGGCGGCGGCAGCGGCGGAGGGCTCCAGGAGGGGTGCCCGCGTGGTTGGGTTGGTCGGATGGCTTTTTGCCGCGCAGAGGCGCTGCAGATCGGCCAGCGAGAGACTCATGAGCGTCTGGGTTGAGCGTGTGGGGCCCCAAATCTGCGCCGGCGGCGCACGTCTGCGCCGCCGGCGCAGAGTGCGCCGCCGGCGCCGGCGGAGAAAACGGCGCACTTTTGCTCGCACCAAATACGCGTTTTGCATGGGTTTCGCGCCCCACGGCCGGCCCAGTTCGCCGCCCGGCCCGCCCGTCAGCCCGCCGCCTACGGTGCCCACCCCGCGCCCCCGGAGCCCGAAAACGGGGCGCCGCGAGCTCGCGACGCCGAGTTTTCCTCGAAATCACACCACCTAGTGGTTGCCCCTTCCTCCGGGGCTCTGCGCAAGGGTTCTCGAGGTATGGGCAAGCCACCGACACCCGAAGATCACTACCTATGCGCTATGGGGGACTCGAGATGTGGACTCGGTGAAGAAAATTGTTCTTCAGGCCGCTCATGCGGCCCGATGGGGAGGAACGGGGCGGACTACGAGGATCGGCCTCTCACACCGCCCTTCCTTGCAGCGAGCCCCCTCCAACCCACCGGCGCTAGGTCTCGGGTTTGACGCATGGGGTCACTTCTGTGAACTAGCCGGGGCAGTCGGAGAAAGGGGGGCAAGCAACTCCGTGCACTGACGGTCGGCCGTCAGAAAACACGCCTGCGTGATCGCGTCACACCAATCCTCGCTACCCAACGCGGCGGGCCAAAGGACAAAGGATATCCACCTCGCTCGAGAACCTAGAGAAATTGTTCTTTGTTTAATGAATTGAACTCGGTGGCACGGCACCTTGCCTTCTCTTTTTTAGCGAGCGAGAATGACTGTCGCAGCGTCGTCGGTCGCTCCGTCCGTTCTCGACTGCCCGTGTGTGCTGTGCGTGCCCTGTATTCTTGTGTGAGGACAAAGTCGCAAACAGGACGGGCTGCGGCGGGCACTTCCCTCGCAAGTGCCGGTGGCAGTCGCGGACGCCACGCAGCCGATCGGCCGACGAATCCGCCACAATGGGGTCGGCCGTCATGGGCGGAGTGCTCCTCGCCGCGTTGAGCCAGCTCGCAGGCATCGACGCACGAAAGCGTCTCTCTGCTCTGCCAGACCGGCTGGTGGGCATGAGAAGCACAGGAGGAGGACGGCCTACCACCACTAACCGCATCGCTCACTGGTGACCAGCCGCCTCCCGACGCGGCTCACACACACGCATACCGTGGACCCAATGCACACGCATGCCTGGCCTCGGCCTTGCCCCTGATGACCGCTCACCTCCTCCTTCGCAGCCTCTCTGGGTCGGCGAGGACCCTCTGGCATCCGGTTGTCTACCAAAACTACCTCAAGCACGTGAGCTCTTAGGACGCCGCCGCGGCACAGCCAAACCCGGAGATCCACGGCCCCCAAGTCTAGTGAATTGGCTGATGCCCTCCGACCGCCGCCCCTGTCCTTGCAAGACAGCCACCAAAGCGCCCCCGTGCGCTGCGCCGTCGCAGGCAATCAAGCCACTCAATGCGCCGTCGGACGTCTTCGTGGTGCTCGCAGAGAACGCGTCCTCGCCTGAGGTGCGACGAGCGCTGCGTACGCTGCAGCCGCGCCAGGTTTCCTCCCTCCCGCCCGCTTGCCGTTTGCGATCCTCAGTCAAACTCTTCGGTCCCTTCCCACGACCCCTAGTCATGGCCTGATCCTCGCGAGGCCCTAAGCTCGCGTCGCTGGTCCTCCAGGTCATCGTCTCCGGGGCGAGTGAGCAGTACTCGCGCTGGCCAGAGTGCCTGCGCCTGATCCGAGAGGCGGAGGCGGCAGACGGAGTCGCATACTCGCACGTCATCAAGACGCGCCCAGATATCGCCGTCCTCGAGGACATGCCGCCAGCCACCACGCTACCCGGTCCCAACGGCATGTGGGCGCACCCTTACGGCGGCGAACTCGGCCCGATCGCATACGACCACGACAAGTCGCCGGCGGAGCAGCAGGAGCAGCGCAATGACTGGTACGCTGAGCAGCGCGAGAGCGGCATCTCCGTGTCCGACCTCTTTCTCGTCCTCGGCCGCAGCGCCGCCGACGGCATCCTGATGGCCAACTCTTCCAGATGGTGGCTCGGCTTCTTCCCCGAGGGCCACCTCCTGCCGATGTCGGCCCAGGTGCCAACTCCCCGAGAGAGTTGCAGACGGCCACAGCAGATGACCTAATCGCCAATGAACGCCGCGGCTAGGCCCGCCTCCGAGCTCTACACCACGGTCGGCGCGTGCAGCACTGCGACCTCCCCGGACACGACCTCACCTGCGATGTCCTGGCGCCAGTCGATCCGGCGGCGGGGCCCGCCACCTGCGAGGCTGCCTGCGGGCGCCACGCTGCCTCCGCCCCTCCCGGACGAGGGTGCAACGCGTGGACTTATGTGCCCGACTCGCCGGCACTGCGCTATCTCGTACCTGCCGGAGAGGTGAGCGATCGAGCCCCAACTGGTCGCAGTTAGGGGAGCGGTAGCCACGCCCGTTTCGGCGACGCATTCAGGCTTCGTTAGGGCGAGACACTTCTGCATCCCTCTTTCCCTCCACCCTCCCAGGCGCGCTGCTGCCTCAAAAGCTACACCAGCGACATACCCCTATGCCTCGACCGCAGCGACACTGCATCGGGCCTTAGCGTTGACTTCGCCGAACGACTGCGCCGCATCTGGCACCTCCGTACCCGGCTTTGCGGCTCGCGCGCTTGGATTGAGGAATGTACGATGCACGTTGCGGCGCGGCTGCCCTCTTACAGCCTCGAGCGAGCGCCAAGCGCGTCTTCTCACGTCACCGCCTCTGCGAGCAGGCGCACGTGCTCAACATCACCCTCGAGGCGCTCCCCGTGGAGGTGCGGATGGTCCGCGACTACGGCGCTTGTCTGCAAAAGTCGGCGCCGCACTATCGGTTCAACTCGATTTGCTTGCCGATGTCGTCTTGAGCATCACGGCCACTTTGCATGTCCACAGCTGGAGCTGCCAAAGAATGGCGATTGCCAACGCCGAGCGAGGGAATCCTCTCGGCTGGCATCCCAATCGCATTTAACGCGCGCACACGGCGCGAATTGTGAGCTGGTGGCGGCGTGTATCGGTCAGCGCGCACCGCGCATCGGCGCGACTCGCGCGAGAGCGACGCACCCCGAAATATTATAGAGCCGCACAGAGTCTATGTGTGTGGGACACAGCCCACACACCCCGCGCGCGCACACACATCTGTGAATTTGTGTGAGCTCTGTGTCCTGACTTGCCAACAATGTACCTACTCCCTTAAAATGTAGGTAAACGAAAAAAGTAGCGCCCAATTGCAGCTGCCTCTGGAAGGCACCGAGAGGTAAATAGTCAAAATCAAGGTTTTTTGTAACGCGAGCTGTGCCACAGTGAAATGGAACTAGCTCTACGCGTGAAGCAGCGCGGGTGGAAACCAAGGAACAAGGAGGGCGCCGCTGGTAAAGCCGTAGCTCCTCCACCGCGTCGAAAACGGGCAAAAGCGCAAGCGCTGGGAGGCAGGTTTCGTTTTATCTTCGGCTCGACGGCGTTCGGAAAAAACTGTTCAAGTCTTAAAGGCAAAACACAACGCTCTGCGGTTGGTGCACCCCTCACACTGACACATTCCCCTCATCCCCTGCCCTTGGCTGAGCACATCTACCTGCGAGCTAGCATCTCCGCATTTTCTCTTCCAGTCATCCGCCCGCGCCGCGCGCCATCTCTGGGCGTCTAGTGCAGCCACTGACAGAGCTATTCCGAAGGAGTGGTCGACGCCTCGCCTAGAGTTCGGGTGGACTTGCCGCACTGCTTAGCCCCCGGCGACGGCGCGGTTCGGGTTACCGCATACCGGCTGTGATTTTTAGGTTACTGTACAAGCCATTACGCAAAAGCATGCGCGTCGGTCAGCTGGGCCATCCATCAATGGGGTTCTCTCTACACATGCCTCGATCGCGGCTATGACCTACGGGGAGTGTGACCCACTTGCCCCGGTGCATTATGTGCGTCATCAGACACGACGTCCATCTTGGCGTACTCGGGTGTTCCTGCAGTGTTCTCTTGCGTGTCACGGCGCAGAGCCTCCGAGAGGTAAACCGAGCCGCGAGTAGCCGGTCGGCTGCACGCCCCAGCCTTTGCCGAGGAGGGCCGTCTCGAGGCAGCGCGCCAGCAGCTGGTGGCCTACGCGGGGCTACGCGCGCCTCGTGCCTCTCGGTGCCGGCGCCGCGAGGGTCGGGGTTGCTGACGGGGCGGCCTTCGGGGTTCGGGTGGAGCCGGTCAGGCATCAGTCGCACCACGACCTCCTCTGCCTCCTCCTCGCCGCCCTCCCGCCGCCCGCCGCCCGCACGGAAGGGGCCGCCGCAATCGACGTAAGAGACGCGGCCAGGGAAGTCGACACTTAGCCGACCGCCGCCGGCCTCCTCACGCAGCCGCTGGTTGACCTTCTCCACCGCGGGCATGAAGGAGCGGAACGGCGCACCTCTGCGGTCGCAGCGCGGCGGGCAGAGGCGCGGGAGCAGCTCGGCCCCGTCGCCTACCGGCCGAGGTCGAGCCGAGATTGGACGCAGCTCCCGCGTCGAGATTGCGAGCGGCAGTGTCGCGAGCGGCAGTGTGGCCTCGCGGCAGCAGAGCGCAGAGCAGCAGGCGGCCGCGGCTGCGCCGCAGGTACTCGCGCGCGACGGCGAGCACTCCCTCCGCCGTCGGGCCGGGCAGGTGCCCCGCGCCGAGGTTGTTGGTGCCGATCATCACGACGGCGGTGAGGGCGCCGTCCGACGCGAGCGGCGGAGGGAGCTCGCCCCCGTCGCCCAGCCGCCAAAGCAGGTGCTGCGTCTGGTCGCCTGCTCGCGGGCCGGCAGGTGTGAAGAGAGACGCGGCCGTCCAGCCGCCGCAGCTGCTGCGTCTGGCCGCCCGAGATTGCGAGCACAGCCGGCGAGGGCCACCGCCGCGCCAGGGTCTGTGCGAGCACCGCGGGCGTGCCGTTGGCGCGGCCTGCGGGAGTGCCGTACGACGTGCCGCGCCAAGACTCGGTGATGGAGTCGCCTGCAGAGGAGGAGGTGGCGCGACGACTGCGGCCGACGGACCAGGCCGAAGTGTGTGCCTGTGTGTGTGCCTGTGTGTGCCTGTGTGTGCCTGTGAGTGTGTGTGTGTGTGTGCCTGTGTGCCCGTGTGTGTGTGTGTGTGTGTGTGTGTGTGTGTGTGTGTGTGTGTGTGTGTGTGTGTGTGTGTGTGTGTGTGTGTGTGTGTGTGTGTGTGTGTGTGTGTGTGTGTGTGTGTGTGTGTGTGTGTGTGTGTTGTGTGGTGTGTGTGTGTGTGTGTGTGTGTGTGTGTGTGTGTGTGTGTGTGTGTGTGTGTGTGTGTGTGTGTGTGTGTGTCATTCACCCCAGAGCGCGAGCGAGCCCTTGCCCGGCGAAGCAGTGTGTGCTGCCGCTTCACTCGCCAGCACGGCCTGCCATCTGAACCACTTCGCGAGTTGTGCCGCAGATCGAGCGCTACGCTGAGTGCGTGGGCTCGCCACGTCCGGCTGCTCCTCCTTCTGCGAGCCGACGAGAAGCCAGAGGCCGGAGCCGGCCGCGAAGCTGGCGAGAAGGAGGCAGGTGGCGCGTGGCGGCCGCACAGCGCCACCGCTGGCGAGAGCCGAGTAGGCAGGCATCCAGAGTCCGAGGCGGCAGTGGGACTGGGACGGGGGCGGCGGGGAGGGACAGGCGCCGAAGTGTCTTCTGAAAACTCGGAGTGGGACGCCCAACACTGCGGCAGCGGCAGCGGCAGCCGGCCGGGGCGACGGCGAAGTTTCTTTTTCCTCGCTTTCGCAGCGAATTTTTTTTCGGACCAGAGCGAGATGTGGAGTGCTGGGGGGGGCGACAGGGAGGATATGGCCTTGAGTTATGTGTACGCCGACTCAGGGTGTGTGGCAGCCCGCTGGCTGTGTGTCTTGTGAGCTTTTGTGTCTGTGTGTCGCTCGTGCGTGTCGTCATCATCTGTCTTGCGTCCACCCATACCGCGTCGGTGTCCAGTCCGAGCCTGGCTGTTCTTCACCTTTCTACCTACCTACCTACCGAGATGGATGAAGAGGAGGGCCGCAGTTGGCTCCGCAAGCAGGTACACACACTTGCCCCCTCGCCCCACGCGGCGTGCGTCCCCCGCCCGAAAATGAATGAAGAGGAACCCGCGCCCGACCTCGCGTCTACTTGGGTTTGTCCGCGACACATCGCGAAGCTACAGGCCCTTTTCCGCGGCGGCACGGGGTGCCCACGCAATATCACCGCCGGCGCGTGATCCGAGCCGAGACTCTCCTCGTGTGAGATACGGACCAGAGCGACGATGCGCGGACCTCGCGAGACCCTGAGCGGCGAGCTTATGTGCGCGTGTGGTTTGTACGGCCGCGAACTCAACTTTGAAGCTGCCCGTGCAGCTTTGGCTGCCGGCGCCTGGGTTGACGGGGAAGCAGGCGTCCTGTCGCAGCGAGACTGTGAGCACTATCACCCGCTGTCGCTTGCCGTCAAGAACGGACACGCAGGCCTCGTGGAGCTGCTCCTCAACGCTGGCGCGACGATCTTGCCTCGCAAAGTGGGTTACTCAGAGTACCCGCCTGCGCATGAGTATGCAGTCCAGGAAGGCACAGTGTGCCTTGCTTTCGAAGCACGGAAGCTGTGTGTGGCTCAGCTCCTGCTTCGCGCACTCAAGGCTGGACTGCCGGCGACACGCGGCGCGTACCGAGACGCCGTGTATGACTCGCTGCTTCTCGCGTCGCGTGGGGAACGGGGCTTTGGCGCCGATATTCTCGCGTTCCTCGTGCGTGGCGACTGGCTTCGAGCCGTGTGTGCCGATAGCAACGACAGCGCGCCGCTGAAGCTCGAGCCAGCGCTAGAGAAGGCCGCGGAAGCGCACCAGGGAGCCCTCAAATGGGAACGCGAGATGCTGGAGCGTGAGAGCACCAGACCTATCAACGGCATCAAGCTGACGCCGGAGCGGAGGCGCGGCCTTCGCGCGCGCATCTGCGCCCTCGAGTGCGTCGGCGAGCAGCTGCACATTCTGCAGGGCTGCGCTGCAGCTGGCCGCAGCCCGCTGGCCATGGCATCGCTCCGATGGCTGCCCAGGGGCCCCTTCGCCGAGTGGCCGCCTGGGGTCACCTTCCCGGCTGCCTTTCGAGCGCGTGCGAAGGCGCTGCTGCAGTGCGCGCGGCGCGAGGAGAGTGGCTCCCTGCACAAGCTCGATCAGCATCTCCTCGAGCTCGTCATCGCTTCTTTGGCCCTGCGCTACTGGGATGGCGAGCCGACAGCGCTGGCCTCTCGCACAGAGCTCCACCTGCCTTGCGGCGAGACCACCGTTGTCTGCCCGCTTCGAGAGACGTGGGCGCGCGGTGAAGCTCCCTCGGCATTCCACCAGCTCGCAGCGACGCGCTTGCAAGCGAGGCTGCGTGGGCGCGTCTGCAGGCGGAGCGTCTCGCAAGACGAGGAGATCGCCCGCCGCCGCAGCGCTCTTCGCCTGCAGGAGGAGGCGAGGGAAGACGCGGCGTACTGCATCACCGAGGCGGCACTCGATTTCCTGCACCGGCGGCTCTTGCGTCGTTGGGCAGTGCTGTGGGCGCGCATCGAGGGCGCCGCGCTCGAGAGAGAGATCGCACGCCACGTGGCGGATCGCGACCTTCTCGCTTTCGCACTGGTCGCACGCGCTTTTCGCGCGGCGCAGCAGGCCACCGGGCGGGCGCTCACCCCGTCACGTCCGAGCGACTTCCTGCGCAGTCCGCGCATGCTGGAGTGGGGCGTCTCGCTCGGCTGTCCGCCGCTCGTTCGTCTGGGAGATCAGCTGCCTCCATGGTATCTCATCGCCAACTTCCCACGCTTCTTGAGCGGGCGCGAGCCGTCCTATCTCTTCCAGTCGCTGACATTCACGCGGCGCGAGCTGTACGGCGGGCGGGCCCGGCTGAAGACCGACGAGAATGGACGCGCTGATCAGGCCGGCAACTTCCGCCGCACGCTGACAGAGACGGAATGGCATCAGGCTGCACTCGCGTGCCCGTCGGTGTACTTCAAGAACCCGAGCAGCCGTGATCACGTGCACCCCCCTCGAACGCGCAAAAGGTTTGAAGCAGCGCGAAACGACTTCTTCACCGTGCGCGAGTTGCTCGCTGCTCTCCGCACATGGGAGTTCTCGGGCGGGGCACACTATACGTCGCCGCACACGCGGTACCATGGCATGTTCGCCCGTGAGTGGGCAGGGGAGTGGGGCGACGAGCTTTTGCACACGGACGGAGACGGCGGCTACTCGCTATCGTGGGAGATCGAGTACGAGTGCCCGGCGGATGACATCGTCACCTCGTTCGCTTGATAGAGGTCGGTTGATACAGCGCACTGGAGCAGCATTGGGTTGGCTACTCGTGTCCTTTTTTTCGGCGTTTCGTTTTTCTTTCCCAATGGCTCCGGTGGTGAGCCAGGTGCGGCTCTACAGCCTCGACAAACAGGCCAGCGCTGTCTCGTTGCTCAGCTCCACTCCCGAGGTTCCTGCCGCCTATCTTTTCTTCTGCGGTGAGGGGCCGGGGGGCGGAGCTTAAGGGTTTGTCCGGTGGGGGGGCTTAAGGGTTTGTCCGGTGGGGGGGGGCGGGGCGGGGCTGAGCGGGGTGGATCGGGTCGGGTCGGGGCGGGGCGGGGCTTGGCCCGCACAAGCTTACCACCCAAGACTGCTTTCAGACGATAACGCCAATTTCCCCTCAACCTGCGCAAATCGTGACCTGCGCAACTCGCGGACCCGAGGAGTCTGGAGCTTCAGCTGGCGAATCATGCCGCTCTCGGCACAGAAGCAGCGCGAGCGCCGCGCCGCGCCGCGCGCTGCCGAGGCTCAGGACGCGGCTCGCGGGCAGCGCAACCGCCCGGCGCCGAGCCGGTGCTAGGCCGCCTCCGCTGCGCCTGCTTCCTTGCGCGCCGCTGGACGTCGGCCGAGAAGACCGCTTCCCTCTGGGGACCCGACTCCGCGAAGATCGCGCGCGCGTCGTGAGTGGCGGCGCGCGCGCGATCTCCGTTCCCGGGCACGCCGGTCGCAGTGGCATGGGCTCCCAGGCTCAAAAGCGCTCCCGTCAACAGCGAGCGAGCGCCACCGCTGCTCTTCCTCCCGCCGCCGCTGCTCCTCCTCCCGCCGCCGCTCACCGAGACCCGCCGCCGCCGCCGCCGCCGCCGCCGCCGCCTCGCGCCTCGCCTCCGTCACCGCCGCCCTCCATCTCGCAGCGGCGCGTCCCTCTGATGGCGCGGGCGCCTCGCTCACCGGCGCCTCGCCGCCGCCCCCCCCCCCTTCTCGCGCCGCTCCGCTCGTGGCCGCCGCCTCCCCTGTCAATGCCGCCGCCTCGCCTGTCATCCCGCCGCCCGCACCACCGCCGCCACCGCCTCGCGCCTCGCCGCCGCCGCCACCGACCGCCCTCCCCTGCGCCGCGCTGAGCGCGGTGCAGGGGGTGAGCCCCCGCTGCGCAGCCTCACCGTAGTGCACTGCGCTCTCTGCGCCCCTGACGATTAGTGAGGAGGTGGTGTTGCACAGCAATCAGCATGGAGCTCGGCGAGCGTTTAGCGAGCCCCTCAGCTAGTAGAGGGAAGAAGGGAGGGAGGGGCGTGTTCCGTGTTTCGTTCTAAATTGATGAGAGGACTAGCACTCACCGCCCGCACACTGCCGCCCATCCCTCCAAACGGGCTTCTTGGGTGGAAAGAGATGCCACCGGCGGCTTCCCCGGTTACTCAGATCAAAAAGGTCTGGTTCCGGCAAACAAAAGGGAAATCAGCGGGTCCCCAGCAATGGCGGGGTGCGGCTCTACAGCCTCGACAACAGGCCAGAGACTCCCATGGACGCGACCACCTATCTGCGCGTCCAACTGTGCGGCCTCACCGCACCGGCGCACCCTCTCTGCCCATCTCAGACGCTCACTACTCTCGCAGATCGTTCGATGCTGCTGCGCCCATGCACCTCGACGCCGCGCGATTCCTGCTCGCCGTGACGCGCGCCCGCGTGGCGCTGACCGGCGACGTCGGCGCTGCTGATCCGGTGAGCGATGCATGTACGACACACGGACGATGTTGCTTGTGCATCGGCACACTCGCACTTCCTTCACTCAGGTCGCGCTGGTCCACTATGACCACGAGCGGCTCGAGGCCACCCTCCGCGTCCCCGAGCGGCGCGCTGCCGCCGACGCCACCGCCCACCGCCGCGTACCGCATCCACTGAGACTGCTTTTCACCGCCTTCCTCATATGACCTTTGGCGAGCCTCCCTCGGAAGCCGCAACGCCACTCACCGCCAGCCCAGCCTCGTCTCGTGCACCCAGCCCCGTGCCCACAGGGCGCAACCCCAGCCCTGTGCCCACGGCGCTGCGCCTCCATCGCGCCCCGCAGGAGCGCGGCACAGCTACGCAGTGCGCTCACGGTGGGTGTGGCAGCACCGCGCCCTTGCCGCGAGCCGCATCTCCTCACCCCGCGTGTGCGTGAGCAGGTGCTGCGGGAGGTGGAGCAGGCCGCCTGCCGCGCCAGGGTGCTAGTGGAGGCGTCTTCGCTCGCCAGCCTCGCAGCGGACAGCAGGGGCTTTCTACGCAGAATGGCGGTCGTGGCAGAGAGCGAGAGGTGACGCAACTGACAGGGTTATTCTATCGGACTTATACGGAATGTCGTGTGGAGCGGAGACTACGCACATATAGCAGCGAGTTACATATTGATTGCGCTCATCACGGTTCACGGCGTACGAGAACACGAGCAAGCGGAGCGGGACGAAAACGAAAAAAAAGCTGAAGGGTGCGCGCGCGCGGTCCCGACGCGTGTCTCGTCACAGCACTTGGAGCTCACACACGCGAAAAAAACAGTCCGTCACACACGACACACCAAAAACATGGACTCAGCGCGCCACGCGTACCTGGCACGACACAAGCCGGTGGTGGCAAAGCGCGAAGGGGCCTTACAGTGGGGCTGATGCTTGTCCGGTCGTTCAGGTCTCCTGCAGAGTATACTGTTGAAAGCCGCACACACGCCGCGGCGCTGTGGCGGTCGCAGCGGCGGGGAACGTGTGGCTGTGCCGGAGGGGAACTGAATACCTCAGTGGGCACGGTCTTTCTGCAGCGCTGCAGCCGGTCGATGCTGCCGGGTCGGGCCACGCCGCGCTCATTCTGGCCGTGCATGTACGGGTGGGGTCGGGCCAACTGCTCAGCTGATGGCACACGTCCATTCGCACCGGTTTGCATGCCGTACACCGCGCTGGATCTGGATGGATGGGGGCGCTGGCGGTCGCTGCATCCACCGAGGCCGCAGCCTTCACCATCAGTATAGCCAGCACGCGCCTGGCAGAGCGGTGGTGTACCGCGCGCAGAAGCAATAGCGCGCCGAGCGCAATGGTGGCAACGAGCCCTTCGGCGGCACCTCCCGACGCGCGCGACACAGCGGAGAGCGGCTCGGGCATGGACGGCGTACGGCGCGAGCGGGGCTCCGGCGGGGCCCGACGTGCACGCGCGGCTGCAAGTTGCCCGTCGCCCGGGAACGAAGGCGCGTCAACACACCGGCCCGGGGGGGCGTGTGGCCGGGTGTTTCTTGCCGACCCGCTGTGTGCGGTGGCGGGAAGCCTGGCGAGTAGAGGCCCCGCCCACCCAGGGTACCCTCTCCGAGGACCCATTTGGAGACTCTCGGCTCTGCTCCATTTGGAGACTCGCCATTTGGAGACTCGCCGGGCGGGGCTCTGCTCCTAGAGACCTACCTCGAGAGCGCGTGCGTGTGCCTCTACTCGCCCGGGGGCGGGCCCCTGCACACAGCTGGGACGACGGCATGGAGTTGCTGGGGGGCTGCTGTGGAAAGAATTTGTGGAACGAATTTTACAACGGCCAACGCTCCCTCTCACGACACTGGGCACGGGAATGGCGCGCACTGGCACCAACACGCTGTGAAAAAAGCTTTCGTCATTGCTAGCGGCATTGTCTGTCGCTGCTCGCCCCTGCACCAGAGAGAGAAAAGGCCGGCGCGCCACCGCAGCTCACCGATGGAGCTTGCGGAGCGGACACCAGCGAGGGAGGGCGAGACGATCGAGGGGTCCCGTACCATGCGGAACCGACCCTATCCAGTGCTCAAGTGCTCATGGCCTATGCCATATATTAGACATTTAGGGAAGATTTACAGATTCCTCGGAATCTGACATATTTTCTTCACTCGGCGAGCGGCAGATTACTCGGAATCGAACAAAATTTTAGATTACTCGGACTCGGCCGTGGGCTTCCATGGACAATACGAGGGAACTCGGGTGGATGTTGGCATGACATGCCAAGAGGGCCTCCTGCTGTGCCTATGGCGCCCACGGGCGCCACGACAAGCGGGGGTTCAAGTGTGAGCGACGACCGGGAGACGAGCCGCTCTCGCCTAACGGCCAGCGCTGCTTCGTCGGCCCGCCTCATACGAACCTGAAAATCCAAACCAACATCGTATGTGTCCATGTCGTCGCGCCGCGAGGGACCCCCCGGGTCCGGCGCGGAGCGACGGGAAGCCCACAGAAACAAAGCCTCCAGCTAATAGACTCCGTGTTATCCTCCAGATGAGGAAGTGTCTATCTAACAGGCGCAGAGGCGGGGGCGAAGAGGGGCGCAGCTGCGAGCCTAGCTCCAACTGATCCAAGCTCGATAGATGAATGAACCGAAACGTTCATCCCTCTGGTTTTTGTGTGAGTGAGTACACACACTCACACACACTCTCTCTGGTTTTCAGTTTCCACACCGGATTTTTTGAGCTAGCCTTCGTTGTTAATTAATTAGGAACAAGCGAAGGCACACACAACATGAAGCCAAACACATGATTGCACGCACCGCACCGCACCCCGCACCCGCGCCCGCCGCCCCCCCACCGCCCCGCCTAGGTGAAAGAGATGAGGAGATGACAGCGCAGAGAGATTTTCTTTTTGAGCTAGACTTCGTTGTTAATAGGAACAAGCGAAGGCACACACGACATGACGCCAAACACACGATTGCACGCACCGCACCGCACCTCGCACCCGCGCCCGCCGCCCCCCCGACCCCCGCCCCGCCTAGGTGGGAAAGAGATGAGGAGATGGGACAGCGAAGGAGGAGCCCAAACACGTATGGGAGGTTTCGTTGATGCGTCACGCTGGCCGGCGGCTCGCCGGTCTTTTTGTTTTTGCTCTTTTTGCTCTGATCATCTCTCTCGAACACTCTGTCTATGCTCGCCGCAGCATCCATGCTCAGCATCGCCAATACCGTCACTCACGTGGTTGGAGGGGATGGCCTGGACTTCTGGACCGACGACTCAGGCTATTGCAAGACAATCGTGGGCGAGTCGGAGGGCGTGCACCGCCCGGCAGGATTTGCTCGGCTCCACACGGCCGTCGGCGACCGCCTCTCCTTCACATTTTCGACACATCACGACCTCTGGAGCCTCGCCTCGCTCGAGGCCCTCGAGGCGTGCGACTTTGCCGGAGCCACGCTACTCGCCAACAGAATGGGCGGCGGCGGTTGCGACGACGAGGCTGACCTGGCCTGCATGGAGGCTGCGACGCCGTTTGTGCTCCGCGTCAACAATTCTGAGAAAGACCTGTACCTCGCTTGCAACGTGAGCGACCACTGCTTCAACGGGCATTTGCGCCTCGTCGTGCTTATGAGTGAAGAGCGGGGCAGTCGGGGACCGCCGGTGGTGCCTGATTAGGCAGCGCCTCGTCGTGCACACGCATGAGCAGCGGCCGCTGCCCCCGCGCGAGGTGGTGGTCCCCCTCTGGACCGACGACGCCGGGTACTGCAAGCCTCTCCCGCAGGCCTTAATCGCTGGAGAGCACACATGTGACTCCCGGCTGGTGGGGGTCGGGGGCACGCTCCGTCACCGTGCCCCTCTCCCTCCCTCACTTGTCGCAGGTCTTCCCTTGCAACGTCTCCGACCCAGAGACGTGCCAGCACCACGGAGAGCACCATCTAGCACCGGCGGCGTGGCCGCGCGGCTCGAGGTCGCCGCGACGCCAGCCGAGAGGGTGTCCGAGATAGGCACGCACGGCGTCCGGCCGCACGGCCACCGGCGGGAGGGGGGCGGGCTGGCGCCGATCACCGTCCCTCTCGGCCTCGGCGGTGCTCCTCCGGCTCCTCGAGCGACGTGACAAGTACTCAGTCATTACTCACTGGTGAATAGGCACGAGACGTTCGTCATCCGCTACTCGTCACCACAATATGCGACAGTACATCATACTACTCAATGCTGCTTAGGCACGACGCTCGTCTTCCGCTACTCGACACACCACGACGTGTGGGCTCACCCGTCTGCAGGCGCACGTGGCAACCACAGGATCCACCTTAGGATCCACCTTACAGGAAGAGCTAGCACCGGAGGCAGAGGGGAAGGAGCCTGCCTCTCTCGTGACACGTGAGCGCACTGGCCGTCCCTGCGTCGGCAGAGTCCCTCGTCGCGTGCGACTACGAGGGCGCCCGGCTGCTGGCGGGCCGAGAGCACGGCGGAGGGTGCGAGAACGACGCCGACCTCGCCTGCATCGACGCGTCGGTTGGCTTCCGCCTCCGGCCGCGCAGCGTCGGCAAGTGGTTCCTCTCGTGCTCCGTCGGCACCCGCTGCGCCAGAGGGGGTCTCCGCCTGCTGGCCGACCCATTGTCATTGATCGCAGCCCTTCATACAAAAGGTGCGACCGCGCCCCCGGGGGTCGTGCGTGTCTCGCGAAGCAGCGAAGAGAGCTTGTTCGTGCTCACTCCTCCAGGCGACCACTGCGCCAACGGGCAGACGCTCGTCGTCACTGTCGCCGAGCCGGCCCCTCTTGCGCCGAACGGCCTCTACACGTACGCAGACGTCGACCAGCCCGCCCTCATCCCCTCTGCCTTCCCGCTCTTCGCAAGCAGATTCGCCCCCTACCCGGGCTACTTCGGCCCGCTCGCGTCCGTCTCCGGCCAAGTCAGTCGGCTTGCGGCGCGGGGGAGGCTAGATGCGGAAGGGTCGCCACATTCCGACTAGCCATCGAGAGACTACCGGTGAGAGGTCCCGCGGTGCTCGTCCGCTGTATGGTGCTCGTGTCCCTTGCATTCCCCTCGTCTTGACGCGAGATGCGCTGAATACACGGGGCAGCGCCGGTCGAACAGTACCTTACCTTCCCTTACCGTACCTCGAACAGTGGGCTCTGGTCCATGAATCAACCATGCATTCGCTTCTAGGTGGGAGGAAGCCCGGCAACGCTGACGTTCGACTACTCGTTTACCGGCGCTAGAACCCGCCGCGAGGCGACACCGGGGGTGGGCGATGGAGAGAGGCGCCCACAGCGGCCGGAGACCGAGCGTGAATAGGAGTCGACCCGCTGTGCCGAGAACCGCAGGACGCGCAGAACGCGTGCGGCGTCCACGTCCACGCAGGCGGGCGCCGCGCGCCCCACCGCACGCACGCCGGGCTTTGCACTCTCAACGCCGCGGGGCTGCTCTTTCGGCGATGGGATGCTCACTCCCCCCCGGAAGGGAGGACGCTCGCGTTTACCTGCCCGTGACCTCACCTCAGGCACGTCCTGCTCCGACGAGAGCCTCGTGCTCGGGCACTACTTCAAGGTGCCGAGATCTGGTCCGAGATCGAGATCTGGTCGCCTGCCCTCCTCCTCGGCCACTCCTTCTTCAAAAGAGGCTCTGCTCTTGTCCGGGTTGCTCTTGTGTGTCCTCCGCCCACACACACCCTCCCGTCGCACTCTTCGCGGGTGAGCTCGGTCATACACTCGGGTATCCTCGGGCAACCTCGGGTAGCCTCGGGTAGCCTCGGGTAATCTCGGGTGCCCG